CCCTGCCCACTGCCACTTCAGCTTGCTGATCCGTCGGGCTATGTCATTAAAACATACTGACCTTCAACTCAGGCTCCAAGCTCTCTACATCAATGGCGGCACGCTGCGGAAATATAGCGCAGCATAGTGGCGTGGCAAATGTCACGCAGAGTCCCACCAGAAACTACTGACTTCTTTTTGTTACCAACTATAGCCAGTTTCATCTTAGGGGAAAGTATATCCGACTACCAGTCCCACTCTACTGACCTTCAACTCAGGCTCCAAGCTCTCTACATCGATGGCGGCGCGCTGCGGGAATATAGCACAGCACAATGGCGTGGCAAATGTCACGCAGAGTCCCACTAGGAACAGCTGGAACGGGATGACGGCCATCGGGTAGTGGCAGAACAGGCCGCGGCGCGTCGCGTATGCGGTTATGAGTGGCGTCAAAGCTGGAAAGAAACGAAGGTTCGGTAAATATACCGAAAAACCTTTTTTCCAATAAAAAAAAGTGGAAAAAAGGTTTTTTGCACTGAAAAACATGTTTGGTTACTGCTTACACAACAAAAGTGACCACCGAACACTTTGGTCATGAGTAACAAAATGTTGTGTAAATTAAACAAATAATTCTGTAGTGAGCTAGATTTAGTTTGGATAGAGTTGACACTTAGTTCGCCTGTCACTTTTTTGTGTAAGCCGTAACCAAAAATCTTGTTCAGTGTGAATCTTGCCCGTTTTCATCGACAAGCCCCTGGGTTGTTCTACTAGGTGGTTCCTCAAATCTTACACTTACAAAAACTTGGGCTTGTCGGTGAAAACGCATTAGTTCATCTGATTGACTTAAAAGTGTAAGTCTAGTCCGTGAGTGTCATAGCGTGTGAATTCCCCCATCTCTCCGGGATAGAATGCCCCTCTCCCCTGGGCCAGAATGCCTTCCCCTGGGCCAAAATGGCCTACCCTACCCTAGAACAAAATACGCTCATCTGGGCTTGAATACCCTCCCGTAGGACAAAATGCCCTCCCCTGAGACAGAAGGGCCTCTCCTGAGCTAGAATACCCTCCTGAGGGACATAACGCCCTCCCCTAGACCAAAATACCCTCATCTGGGCCTCGAATACCCTCCCGTGGGACAGAATGCCCACCCCTGAGACAGAATGCCCTCTCCTGGGTCAGAATACCCTCCTGAGGGACAGAACGCCCTCCCCTAGACCAAAATACCCTCATCTTGGCCTGAATACCCTCCCGTGGGACAAAATGCCCACCCCTGAGACAGAATGGCCTCTCCTGGGCCAGAATGCCCTCCCCTGGGCCAAAATACTCCCCCTGGATACGCTTATAGTTTTCATATTGTAATGACCATGTACCGGAAAGCGCAGCGTAGGACGTCCACCCACAAGGTGGACCGACGACCTCATAAAGGTAGCGGGAAGGCGCGATGCAGGCCGCCACCAACCGGCCATTGTGGAAATCATTGGGGGAGGCTTATGTTCAGCAGTGGTCCTAGGGCTGAAATGATGATGATGATGATGAATGAAATCAAGTGGCAGTGGGCGGGGCACATAGCTCGTAGAGACGATGGCCGTTGGGGCAGGAAAGTCCTCGAGTGGCGACCACGGGCTGGAAGACGTAGCGTGGGCAGGCCTCCTACTAGGTGGACCGACGACCTCATAAAGGTAGCGGGAAGGCGCTGGATGCAGGCCGCCACCAACCGGCCATTGTGGAAATCATTGGGGGAGGCCTATGTTCAGCAGTGGACGTCCTAGGGCTGAAATGATAATGATGATGATGAATGACCACTCACTCATGCCGGGCAGCGCCATGATGACACGCGAGATGCACACGAGCGAGATGCCACGCATGGCAGCTGTCTTGCTCTCTCCCACGCGCTGCCCATCCGCGGTAAAAACTGGTGTGCCGTTCAGGATCTCACTGTGGAGGAAAGAGGGATTTAAAGGTAAGATTAAAAGGCGATTTTTGAGTGTAATAATTTAACTTTTTTCAGTGAAAACAGCGCCTTTGACAAAGGACAGTGCCAATCCATGTATGGAAGTTGGACCAAGTGCTGCCCAGAATCAAAACATAGTGCATTTTGTTCCTCAGGCCAATACTAATTTGTAAACCGGAGCGCACTGGAATCTATCCCTGGAGTTAAGAGAAAAAAAGAGTTTTGTTTTGAATTATTTGCATACAAAATATCATCGATGTATACGTACTACGCATAAGATTTCGCGATTTTAGCATTAAATAACACTCGCTATGTTGAACTTAACCATACTGCATCCGTACACCTTACTTTAGTACGACTTCGACATTCTTTATAAGCGATCAAGCGCTGTTGCAGTAGTTTGGTTAGTTGACAGAAATTAATTATTTCCAAAATGGAGCAAGAAGTTTTAGTTCTCTATTCTTGCAAAAAGTCAATTTATTTGTGTATTACAATCGATTATTAAAGTTATTGTAAGCTAAAACTTCTTGCTTCATTTTGGAAATAATTAATTTCTGTCAACTTACCAAGCAATTAAAACAGCGCTAGATCGTTTATAAAGGATGTCTAACGGCCGAATACTGAAACACTACTCAAATCTGTCACTCAGCTGACGGGCTCTTAAATTTAAGTATCCTTCAATTTTAAATGGTATTCTCAAACGCCACTCAACGGATTTGAAGCCGTGATCAGCTATGCAGCTCTCAAATGTTTACCTACTGGCAACATTTACCAAAAAAAGTATGTTTTCATTTACACAAATGATAACTTTACGTTTTTTATCCATTACACGCAGCATCGTTTGGTTATGTATTGTCTTTTATGGAAATATACTCAATCAACTTAACATAGAACAGTTTATTTTTAGTTTCTATTATATATAAATCTCGTTTTATCATATAAAAAAATTAATGCTTGCATTTTTATTTAATTAAAAAAATAATTTTATTCTGTAAGAAAATATCCGCCGTGAAGTTGCAGGAAAATTATTAGCGCGATTTGCTCTCGCATAGTTGCGAATGTAAGGGTCCGGCTGTGAGAGTGCCTATAGTAAAACGGGCATAATTTAAAAGACATTGCCTATAAAAAAATAAATCCGCATTGTTAAACTCCAGTTTGCATTAATAGTAATAAATAATAAAAAATCATTAATTTATTTGTATGAATCATTTTTGAAGTTGAAAAATTCCCACTGGACACCCTTTATTTCTTCTTCACTTCCCAATATTTCAATATACACCGGAAATAATATTCTACTAAGAATTCATAATTCAATTTTTTGTGTTTTAATGCCGGTTTTCTTTAATCAATCCTTATCAAAAACAACTGTCAAACGTCATTATGTTTTTGGTCAAAACATTAACGGTTTTCGAAGTTTTTACATAATTTCAGATTGAAATTTGAGAGTTGAAGGTCATTTTCGTTTTCGTTTTCGTTTTCGGCCGAAAATAAGACTGCAGCCGAAGCTTCGTTTTCGTTTCCGTTTTCGGCTGAAAATCCATATTCGGTCGGACACTACCAAGAAGTTACAAATCGAAGTCGTTGTTAATTTATAAACACGTCAAACTACCACTTGGGGCAATTGTTTCATATTATGAGGGTCAATTGCATATCAATCACGGCTTAGAATTGGAAATATTTATGCAGCGCGAATTGCAGGTGAATAATAACAGTTATGAACGGTTCTTTCGCTTTTTGGTCATCATTTTCTTCGTCACAAATAAGATGGTCACTCTCGTGTCAGTCAGACTTCACTTTTATTGTCTGAATCGGACCAACAACTTATACGTTGCTCTCATCATCTTAGCCAAAGGACGTCCACTGCTGAACATAGGCCTCCCCCAATGCTTTTCATGTTGCCCGGTTGGTAGCGGCCTGCGTCCAGCGCCTTCCTGCTACCTTTACGACGACATAAATTTTTCTAATACGTATTATTTCTTTTTGGAGAAATAAGTAAATAGGCAGTAAGTAGGTTTGCAAAATGTTTCTTCAATTTGGGAATCGAACCCAGGACCTACGGATTGACTTCAGTTGAATCTACTTCGAAATCGTGTTCTCCGGGATCTCAGATCATAGTCTATGATCTGAGTTCGGGATAAAGAAAGAAGGTCTAGCTTGTGGTCTAGCCTTGATTTATCGTGACTGTATAGGTAGGTATTATTTAACCGGGCACATGGCAGCATTAGGTCATCGCACTTGACAAGTAATAATGTAAAAGATACAATATTTATATTGATAACAACTATAAGTAATTGCGACATATGAGTGACCTTTTGACATGTTTCTGATATAAGTCGCGTGGCGATAAAAGAATGAATAAAAATGAGGACAGTGACATTCTGTCATCATCATATGCCTTCTAGCCAGGTTATCTGTATTGCAGCAAGATTTTGTCTCTTGCAATACCTGCACTATATTTTCAGAACACATGTGTTGGATATCGTCCCTATTTTTTCCGCTTAAGTAGTGGTTAAAAAGTTATAAATTTTGAATTCTAAAAGGAAATATACAAATACGATCAAGTACCTAAGTTGTGCGTGAAACGCAGAACCGGGAAACGCAGCGTGGACGTCCACCTACAAGGTGGACCGACATCATAAAGGTAGCAGGAAGGCGCTGGACGCAGGCCGCTACCAACCGGGCAACATGGAAAGCATTGGGGGAGGCCTTCCTATGTTCAGCAATGATTATGGTCCTCCTATGGCTGAGACTGACTGAGACGATGATGAAATTGTGCGTGACAAAAGTTATGGGCATGGGTTAGTTTTTGACCATGAAACGACTTGGAGTGACAGCACATCAAGCTACTCTGTGGCATCTTATTTATTCTAGTTGTAAAAGGTGATATTTTGCAACCAAGATGTAATAACTGTTAGGATTATATTATCTTTGGAAGTGTATTAAATATTAAAAAGTTAACTGTTTCCGGTAGAACGCTCTTCCCTCTTCCGGCTATGTACGAACAAGATGTGTCTGTGTAAGAACCCGAATAATAAATGCTTATCTCGCTAACTATCGGTCTTTTCATTAAAGAAACACAAGTTCTGATAGGTTATGGGCCCAGACGCCCGTTAGTTAGAGTTAGGGAAAGTTTTAATTGTAGATTATTCGGGAAAAAGCGGATTTGTGAAATATAAAAATGGCGATGTCAAGTAGTAACACGCCGCTACCGCAATTGAGTGCAGGGGCATACGACAACTGGGTTTTCAGGATAAAATGCATACTCGCAGAAAAAGGTCTAACAGAAGTTTTGGATATAAAGAAAATAGTAGACTGTGATGAGAAGATGAAACTCATGGATGCAAAAGCGAGAAGTATCATCGTCCAAAGCGTGACAGACCAACACTTAAACCTGATAAAAGAAAGCACAAGCGCGAAAGAAATGTTAGAAGTTTTGAAAAACACATTCCAACGAAACACGGTCATATCAAAAATATGCCTAAGAAGAAAGTTATTGACTTTGAAACATACAGGAAAATTAGAAGAATATTTCGCCAATTTCGACAATCTTATAAGAGAATTAGAAGTGTCAGGAGAGAAAATTGCAGAAAATGAAAAAATCAGCTACCTCTTAACTGGATTGGGAGAGGAATTCAACGCAATAATAACAGCAATGGAAACGGTAAACCAAGAGCTAAGGCTCGACTTCGTAAAGTCTAGATTGCTTGACAATGAGATAAAGAGGGAATATAGTAGCACAGAACCACAATCTTCATTTGTCATCAAATGCTATACATGCCATAAAAAAGGGCATAAATCCTTCGAGTGCAAAAGCCGAGGACGAGGCAGAGGCCGCAGATATAGAGGTACTACAAGAACACAGTATAATGAAACAGCACAACCTGCAGAGAGTAGCAAATTCATGTGTAATGAAAATCAGTGACCAAGGTACATCGCTAGTTGGGTGGTCAAGGTACAACATTACGACTACTTCAATTAATAAGCATAATAAACCCACTTCCATTTGAGCTTAGGATCTGAAACTCATATCGTCCAGTAGCTAGATATATAAAGATTATCTTCAAACTATAACCGTTTTGTCAAACATGCAACATTTTTCATAAATTGACATGAAGTAAACCTCCAAAATCTCACTGCGTCAGTATAAAATATTAAATTACCATTTTTTCTTGTACTTGCACGGCGTCGGCGAATCTTAGCTAACTTCACGTTAATGTTGACAAATAACGTATGTAATACCCTAGACAACTTTTCATAAAACCGCATAATTTAAAAAATATATACAATTGTTTTAGGTACAACTCTGTCCAAGGTTCAACAGGTTCCCCTACGTAGGTATTATGTACCTACCTAGAAATTTAACTAACCAAAGTTAAACTTGTTTAATCAGTTAGTGAAAACCTTGTTTTCCTAAATATCTGAATATGAAGATTTTCATGATCAAATAAAAATAAAAGAGCTACTTACAGGTTAAAGAGAAAATATCTTCTAATAGAACTGAGGGCCGAGTGTGAGTTTTCATCAAACGCGCTTACTAGTGAGCGCGGCAAAAAATTACATTTTTAATGTATGACGGATTGTACAGCGCCCTTAGCGGGAAACGTTCAAAAACTAACATTTTCATACATTTTTTAAACGCGCTCACTAGGTAAACACACACTCAGCCCACTGGAAGGTCGTGAGAAGTTTGTATCAGGATGCGGTCGTTGTGGAAATCCTTGGAGGAGGCCTTTGTCTACAGTGAACGTCATTTAGCTGAAACGAGCGATCAATTATAAAATAGACTAAAAAAACTCATAAAACTCATTTATTTTGCAAATAAGCTTTTAAAAAGCACTTTTAAATGTCCCAGTATTAACCCTAGCACTGCTTCGGGACAATAAATGGGCCAATGCTGAGAAGAAGCAGCGCAAGAAACTCAAGTCACTATTGTCAGCCCCCTTTTCAAGGGTTTAATCTTAACAAACTGCAATAATTTGTCACTTACGATGAAGACATGGGGGTATCACCAGACCGGTTGGTGTAGTTGACCACGGCGTTGAACGTCTGATTCACCCACTGCCAGAACACGGTCGCGGCTGTCGTCTTGTAGAACGTGATCATTCCTGATGGCAAGCGGATTCAGGTTAGATGTCGATATTACTGAAATAAGGTTTAATCCGGCTCGAAGGACCAATTATTAATCGTAAGCGCTTTGCTAACTCTTTTATAGTGCGAACAGCTAGGGACTGGAATTCGCTGCCTGCTGCTGTCTTTCCTGAACATTAAAGTCTCGTCAAGGCGAGAGTGAATAGGCGGCAGATTTTGTGCCATCCTAGACTGCATCAGGTGTGATTGCAGTCAAGTCAAATATATGCTTTGTTCTGCATAAAAAAATGCACCCATCTCTCGCAATTTGCTTACGCAGCAATATCAGATGTACCGACTAACTAGCGATATTACTGTTTGTAAATCTGTCTACTCTTTCAAGTTATTTCAGTTCACTGGAAAAACAAACAAGTGTTATCAAACGAAATCCGAATTCCGCACCTAACTACTGTAGGTCTAGCGCCTAACTCAAACGGACAAACGTCAGCCATATAACTACTAGATTTATTAGAAGGTAAAAATAACTCACCTCCAGTGATGATAGTGTTCATGGGAGCCTGTGACGCCATGCGGCCGATGAGCAGCATCTTCTCTCCGGTGTCCGGGTGGAACGCGCTGTCGTACAGGTACTTGGTCTTCCACAGCTTCTCCTCGTCGTACCCTGGTGGCATGCGGCGAGTTTTCCTACATGGGAGATAGATTCTTTTACTTGAACTTCGGGAAGAATGCGTGCTCTTGGGATTTCTTCAGATAATATTGAGAAAAAATATTTCAAGAGTGTTTTATGGTCCATGTAAGTTTGTGTACAATTTTACGTGCCTTCTGACATGACGGTTAAGTATGGTGAACGAGGCGCACTGCCTAGTATTAGGTGTACCTACTGATAAGTAAGCATGGAAGACTCTTTTCACTAAGTTTCGAAGTCCTTTGAATGAGGATCATTTCGATTTTTAGCTGTGAATGCAGATTTATAGGTCTAAGAAATCCTTAATATACAGTCCAAAAATTTTTGTTCTACGACAAAAATTGACGAAGTTATGGCCAAATTACTAAAAAAGTTTACTGACCGCCCGGCGCGGGACCGATGACGTCATTATATCCGATCCGAACGCTGCCGGCGTACTGCGTGGATAGAAAATATTTTTTTCTAGCCAAACTATCAGTTTTAGAGAAAAACTTGTTATGACATTTATTCATCAGAATAAAGTAAGCTATCGATAGGTAATTTTTTTAAATAGAAATTGTGAAAAATATCTCAAAAAATCCATACGCTCATACGATTCAATGGAACGCGGAGACGCGATTAGGGTCTCCGCGATGGTATATTTGGCGATTTATTCAAATGAATAAATGTTATTAAAAGTTTTTTTCTAAAACTGATAGTTTAGCTGGAAAAAAATATTTTCCATCCCAATAGTACGCCGGCTGCGCTCGATTCGGATATAGTGACGTCACGCGGCCCTGCGTACGTTGTCTTTTAGCGGCAAAAACGGCCTATGTTTATTACTTAATATCTTCGTAAGTAATGGTCCGATTTGGATAATTCAAAAAGATATATCTTTCTTATGTCTTAAAGATTAACGTAGATACTAGTTTTATTGAATTTTCTACAACAGTACTGATCCTCATTGTGACGGCTCTGTCGCCCATGGTCATGGTCAGACGTAATAAAACCTGGGTTCATTCTAGATGCATGCTCTGTCGTCCTAGCAGCGGTCACTCAAGACGGCAATACACTAAAATGCTGCTTGCTGTCAAAACAGTGTCTAGCTCTAATGTGATGTCAAAGTTTTGACGAAAGGGGCGTGCGTCCAAAGACAATCTTTATCTCTATCTACTCCCAACAAATACCGTTGGCCCTGAATATAACCTACCTGAACTCGGTGACGACTCTCTTGGCCTCGTCGAGCTCCTTGTCGGAGGCTAGCGCGTTCATAGGGTTGGTGAGCTGCAGAAGTGGATCGCGCGGCCCATGTACGTGCTTTTATAGCGTAACTTGCCGCGGTCGATCCTAAGTATAAGCTACCTGAACTCGGTGACGACTCTCTTGGCATCGTCGAGCTCCTGGTCGAAGAAGCGTTCATGGAGTTTGTGAGCTGCTGGAAGTGGATCGCGCGGTCCTTTTACGTGGCTGGTCGCAGCGCGGCTGTCGAGGTCGATAAGTATGAGCTACCTAAACTCGGTGACTACTCTCTTGGCCTCGTCGAGCTCCTTGTCGGAGCGAGCATTCATGGAGTTTGTGAGCTGCTGGAAGTGGATCGCGCGGCCCATGTACGTGCCTTTATAGCGTGACTTGCCGCGGTCGATCCTAAGTATGAGCTACCTGAACTCGGTGACGACTCTCTTGGCCTCGTCGAGCTCCTTGTCGGAGCGAGCGTTCATGGAGTTTGTGAGCTGCTGGAAGTGGATCGCGCGGTCCTTTTACGTGGCTGGTCGCAGCGCGGCTGTCGAGGTCGATAAGTATGAGCTACCTAAACTCGGTGACTACTCTCTTGGCCTCGTCGAGCTCCTTGTCGGAGCGAGCATTCATGGAGTTTGTGAGCTGCTGGAAGTGGATCGCGCGGCCCATGTACGTGCCTTTATAGCGTGACTTGCCGCGGTCGATCCTAAGTATGAGCTACCTGAACTCGGTGACGACTCTCTTGGCCTCGTCGAGCTCCTTGTCGGAGCGAGCGTTCATGGAGTTTGTGAGCTGCTGGAAGTGGATCGCGCGGTCCTTTTACGTGGCTGGTCGCAGCGCGGCTGTCGAGGTCGATAAGTATGAGCTACCTAAACTCGGTGACTACTCTCTTGGCCTCGTCGAGCTCCTTGTCGGAGCGAGCATTCATGGAGTTTGTGAGCTGCTGGAAGTGGATCGCGCGGCCCATGTACGTGCCTTTATAGCTTTTTTTAATGTTGCCATACTAAAACATAAGTGGAATATTGTTATTAGAAGTTTTTATTAGTAGATAAAAATTATTTTGTTTTGCAATTAAAAGTTAAAGCCTAACTTGTAATTGAGAGGGAGTGTTAGGATTATATTATCTTTGGAAGTGTATTAAATATTAAAAAGTTAACTGTTTCCGGTAGAACGCTCTTCCCTCTTCCGGCTATGTACGAACAAGATGTGTCTGTGTAAGAACCCGAATAATAAATGCTTATCTCGCTAACTATCGGTCTTTTCATTAAAGAAACACAAGTTCTGATAATAACTGTGCAGCCAAGCCAGGATCTACATACATCTTGATTGCCCATAAAAACCCAACCTGTGAAGGTCAAGTTTGTTCCGGGGGAAAGTTAAACTGTCATTGGACCCGCAACGAAATTAATCAGAAGAACATAGGAGGAGTTCGAAGTTAAGGTTCGACTTCCCTCCATTTATAATAGTGTAGGTAGTTGACTGTCCTTATTTAGTAGGTATTAAGCCAAAAATAATCTGTTGTTATGTTATGGTGGGTATAATACTGAAACCACACTCCATCATCGTGCCAAACACCCGACACACCTCCGTAAGTTCCATGACGTAGAGTGATAATGAGATAGCCGCATATTTACGTTACGTAAACTTGAAAAATAACGATATGATACGATATTATGTAGATAACAGCGTTATTGCGATATTTGATTTATTACAGCATTTTGTGATAACACACTGCGTTCTTTATTCAGCTGGTGTAACACGAAAACAATTTGGTGAGTATTGAGGTAACAACTACGTCGGGTTAAAACTTGGTCATATATAGCATTTATAAGAAGTCGTGAATAATTACGGATGAACGCACCACACTTAGTAAGAAAAAAAGATAACCCGTTTTCACCATCAATTCCTAATTTTTAAGTGACCCCTATGAAAACAAAATTCCTGATCGAAATGAAACCGGGCATTAAAGTTATAATACTTAGGCAGTGCCGTAACTAGCCGTTTATGCGCCCGGTGCGAGAAATATAAAAAAATGTAACCTTTTTGAATAAAAAGTAACCTTCTACGGGGCGGAGCGATTGTGTAAGTTCACTATCGAAAAACATTGGCTAAAACTCATTTTTTATAACAAATAATAAATCAAATTCATGTTTACATGCAGTTTATGACATAATTTTTAAATTGTCACTATTAATATTTTTTACTGAATAACCTGTACATCTCCTCAGCTAGATTGACAGATTTGCTTAGAACTTCTAAGTTAGAAGTGGCGCCCTCCAAATGAATATAGACAGAAATTGTCTCATAGTTACGGTATAGGTACTTTTGTTTGTGTATGTAATATTGCGAGCAAGACAAGGTGGATTTATATTTGTCTGATGTGTCGTGACGTGACGCGTCAGAACTGTATCGGTTCCATACATAAGCCATCACAACACAACACGTTACGCACTAGTGTGAACGTTACCATCCTACTAATATTATAAACGCGAAAGTTTGTATGGATGATGGATGGATGTTTGTTACTCTTTCACGCAAAAACTGAATGGATTTTAATGAAACTTTACAATAATATAGCTTATACATCAGAATAACACATAGGCTACAATTTATAAACATATTGTTCGAAATACTAATCCTGCGCAGACGAAGTCGCGGGCACCAGCTAGTACTAAATGTATGAAACCGATACCGTTCTGACGCGTCACGTCACGACACATCAGACAAATATAAAACCACCTTTACAAGTGTTGTTGTTTCAAGATCGCTTGAAAAATGCCATATAGATAATAATATAGATAGTACAGAGGGCGCGTCTACACCATATTCGCAATAAAACAAAATATACCTACTAACTACCATGCATGAAACAAAACTAGATACTGGTCTGGTCATTTCTGCGCCCCTCCAGGGTCTGCGCCCTGTGCCTGGGCACCGCTGGCACCGCCCTAGTTACGGCACTGTACTTAGGTGCATTTTTGCAACAAAAAAACCTGTGTAAAGTAGCCTGACGTGCTGTCTATAGTTCAAAATTTTGTAACAAGGAAGCTGCATTTAAGAAAAAAGTCAAGTCAAAGTCAAAATCTAAATACCGATAAAAATTATAAGACTCCCCGCAAACTACAGATACAGACTTTAATCTTATTTTATGGCAAAGGTTACGTCTTAATCATAATTAATTCATTTAAGTATTCATTGCATCATGTAGTATTGTAGTACAGGGATGTCATTTTGGTAATATAGGAAAATGTATAAGAGCTACATATTTTTAAGATGTAGTTTTTAACTACACTTATTTTTCTTGCGATAAATCATTATACTATGACAATTTGAGTATTATCGATCATTCTATATGAACTGTGCCTTTGAATTGAGATAAATATTGAATCTACTTATTGATGATTTCAGAGGTTGTATGTCGTCCACTTGACATAGTGGTTCGTATACTCGGCCTCTAACGCCTAATTGTCGTGGGTTCGAATCCCGTGTCGGTAAATGTGAGAGTTAAAGATCCTGTTTGAAGGTAGACTTGATAGATAGTTGTAAAAACACAAAGTACCTAATTGTGTTGTGTGAGGTAATGTTGCCATTCAATGACATGCAAATTTGATGCATGTAGAGAATATGAAAACTTTAGTTTTCAGGTTAAGAGTTAGCTCTTAACCTGAAAACTAAAGTTTTCATATTTTTGTAAAACAAGAAAAATGTCTTGTACCTAAATCATCTGACCTTCACGAATATTGTATCCGTTTGTCAAAACTAGAGATAAATATAGACCGCATAAGTAATGAGTAGTGAGTAGTAGTCATCACTTCTGAAATGTGAAAGTAAATAAATGATATGATTTGATTTGAATTTCCTACGGTAGTTGAGAGATTATTATACGTAGATAAGTACAACAGAGTTGTCATAAGTCTCGCAATCATTTTACGTGACAAAAATACTCCAACCCCCTTACTTTACTACGTTAAGTATGGAAATGTCACTTTAAAACAGTGTTCAATTATAGGGTGTAACTTTTTATTATCAAGGGGGCAATGCATAATCTAAGCTAAAGACTAAAACCATTTTTTTTCTTGGCTTTCGCGGTTTGCGTTTACTGAAACCATAAGTATCCTATTTTTTATAAATCAAGGATAGTAGGACCTACTTCTTCTGCTTTCCTAACCCGACTGGTCAGCCAGTGGGTGGAGTGCGCAGGTCAAATTCGGCATTAATCATCATCATCATTTCGGCCATAGGATGTCCACTGCTGACCATAGGCCTCCCCCAATGATTTCCACTATGGCCGGTTGGTGGCCTTCCTTAGCGCCTTCCTGCTACCTTTATGAGGTCGTCGGTCCACCTTACCTAATTCGGTATCTACCCCTGGTAAATAGTAGTGGGTCATGCTCCTTCAGTGGAGACCAAATGACCGATGATGATGACTTACTTCTAGCTTACCTTAACTTTGCTGTTGAGGTACAGAGCCGTTCCCAACGCGCCACCGCAAGCAGCGCAGTAGGACGCAAACAGTTGTCTGGGCGAAGAAAATAGAAAGAGTAAGAAATAAATTAAATAAAACAAATGGTAGGGTACATCGTCAATAGGCTAGTCTACTATATAAAAATAAGTCGGGTTTTCCTCCCTGACGCTATAACTCCAGAACGCACGAACCGATTTCCACGGTTTTGCATTCGTTGGAAAGGTCTCGGGCTCCGTGAGGTTTATAGCAAAGAAAATTCAGGAAAAATTTCAACAGAAAAGCGGGAAGGGGGTAAAACGGGATCCACGCGTACGAAGTCGCGGGCGGCCGCTAGTTTCTTATATAAAAAACTTTTAGTCCGTCAATTACACTATCAAAAAATATTGGACACATATATTTTTATTTGAAAATCAAACAAGTAATTACGAAATAATGATGCATTGTTTCGCGTGACGTCATAAAATGCTACACTTTTAAGCACGCCTTGACGTCACGGGGTACCTCTATTGAACTTTGGCGCGCTGTATGTCTTTCAATTTTCATTAGTTTGAAAAAGTGAAAAATACGTGTCAAGTATTTTTTGATAACTCACTTAACCGACAGGCTGTAGGTACATCAAACTCTTGCTTTTTTATCCTGCCTTACTCTACTTAAACTTACTCTACTTAACTACAGGCAAAATTATTTTCACTGGATTAGGAACAATGTTAGGTAGGTAAATGAATTTGGGCAACATTGACATCTTTCACATTAGCGACAGCTGAGCGACTGGTTTTAAGGAAAGTTAAGTAAGTTGTTTTTCTAAATTGTTTTCAAATTGTTTTAGGTAGGTAAATAATACAGTACGTAGGTATTATGTAGTAATTTAACTAACCAAAGTATCATCAGTTACAGTTAGTGTAAAACCTGGTTTTCCTAAATGTTTGAATATGAAGATTTTCATATGATCAAATGCAGATAAAAGAACTACAGGTTATAGAGAAATCATCTTCTAACTGGAAGGTCGTGGGAAGTATCAGGATGCGGGCAGCGCAGGACCGGTCGTTGTAGAAATCCTTGGGGAGACTTTTGTCTACAGTGGACGTCATTTGGCTGAAATGAGCGATCAATCTAAATACTTAAAAATAACTCAAAGGTGACTGACTGACTGACATAGTGATCTATCAACGCACAGCCCAAACCACTGGTCGGATCGGGCTGAAATTTGGCATTCAGGTAGATGTTATGACGTAGGCATCCGCTAAGAAAGGATTTTACGAAACTTCACCCCTAAGGGGGTAAAACGGGATCCACGCGTACGAAGTCGCGGGCGGCCGCGGCCGCCTGCTAGTATAAGTAATTTAAAAAGCAACTACAATAATATGTCACTTACGATGAAGACATGGGCGTGTCACCAGACCGGTTGGTGTAGTTGACCACGGCGTTGAACGTCTGATTCACCCACTGCCAGAACACGGTCGCGGCTGTCGTCTTGTAGAACGTGATCATTCCTGAGAACAAGCAGCTTCAGCTTAGATGTCGTCTAAAGAATCTGTTTCATTTCATTATAATTGCTGAAAAAGGTGAGATCCGGCTTGAAGGACCAATTATTAATCGTACAAGCGCTTCGCTAACTCTTTTATAATGCGAACAACTTGGGACCTGAATACGCTGCCTGCTGCTGTCTTTCCCGAACTTTAAAGTCTCGTCAAGGCGAGAGTGAATAGGCTGCAGATTTTGTGCCATCCTAGACTGCATCAGGTGTGATTGCAGTCAAGTCAAATATATGCTTTGTTCTGCATAAAAAAATGCACCCATCTCTCGCAATTTGCTTACGCGGCAATATAAGATGTACCTACTTACCGACTACCGATTATTATTACTGTTTGTGAATTCTATCTACTCTTCAAGTTATTTAGATTCACTAAAAAAACTTACAAGTGTTATTTATCCAACGAAATTTGAACCTTACTACAGCTAAGCGAAGAATTTGAAGCGACAGACGATAGCCGAACGGTGAAGGTATCGGACTGGCTGACTCGTGATCCTAGGAATGCGGGTGTGGTGACCTTATTTAGCTTACAACGAGGGGTTGACGGAACTATTAGTAATTTGTATTTACAAAATATTTTTTTAAAAGAGAAGAGATAATGCCTTACCTCCTGTGATGATAGTGTTCATGGGAGCCTGTGACGCCATGCGGCCGATGAGCAGCATCTTCTCTCCGGTGTCCGGGTGGAACGCGCTGTCGTACAGGTACTTGGTCTTCCACAGCTTCTCCTCGTCGTACCCTGGTGGCATGCGGCGAGTTTTCCTACAAGAGAGCACATTTTCTTTTACTTGAACTTCGAGAAGAATGCGTGCTCTTGGGATTTCTTCAGATAATATTGAGAAAAGATATTTCAAGTGTGTTTTATGGTCCATGTAAGTTTGTGTACAATTTTACGTGCCTTCTGACATGACGGTAAAGTATGGTGAACGAGGCGCACTGCCTAGTATTACCAGAGGCGGGGCAAGACCTAAATTTGATGTGGGCAAGACAGATTTCGCGAGGCCTTGTTCTGTGGCGACCTGAAGACGGATTTTATGAAATAATAAAAAAAAAGGGTCAAAGGTCTATACATTGACAGTTTCTGATTTCTTGATTCAGTGATTATTTTTAAAGGAATATTGCGCCAAAGAATAATGTTCGTCACTTAAAACCGTGTTGTTGCTTAATTTTGTGTCTGATTATGGCTGAATTTGTTTGGAAAAAAATATATTTTTATTTTTAACTACATTGTTTAGCTATCGATAATTTATATTTTAATAGTCAATGTTCGTATTGTGATATTGTCATCTCCACCTTGTACCTATACATTTTTTCAAAATTTTTGATGCGCGAGGCCCCTTGTACCGCGAGGCCGTAGGCGGTGGCCCACGTCGCCTACGCCTTACGCCGCCTCTGAGTATTACAATAGGTGTACCTACTGATAAGCATGGAAGACTACAGGCTCTTTTCAGTAAGTTGTGAAATCCCTTGTAGAAGAGTGACGGCTCACTGTCACCTATGGTCATGGTCAGGCGTACTAAAACCTGGGTTCATTCTAGATGCATGCTCTGTCGCCCTAGCAGCGGTCACTCAAGACGGCACGGCACCAAAATGCTGCTCGCTGTCAAAAAAAGTTTTGACAAAAGGGGCGCGCGTCCAAAGACAATCTTTATCTCTATCTACTCCCAACAAATACCGTTGGCCCTGAATACAACCTACCTGAACTCGGTGACGACTCTCTTGGCCTCGTCGAGCTCCTTGTCGGAGGCTAGCGCGTTCATAGGGTTGGTGAGCTGCAGAAGTGGATCGCGCGGCCCATGTACGTGCTTTTATAGCGTAACTTGCCGCGGTCGATCCTAAGTATGAGCTACCTAAACTCGGTGACTACTCTCTTGGCCTCGTCGAGCTCCTTGTCGGAGCGAGCATTCATGGAGTTTGTGAGCTGCTGGAAGTGAATCGCGCGGCCCATTTACGTGCCTTTATAGCTTGACTTGCCGCGGTCAATCCTGAGTATGAGCTACCTGAACTCGGTGACGTCGTGACGACTCTCTTGGCCTTGTCGAGTTCCTGGTCAAAGGAGCGTTCATGGAGTTAGTGAGCTGCTGGAAGTGAATCGCGCGGCCCATGTACGTGCTTTGGTCGTAGCGCAGCTGTGTAGGTCGATCCTAAGAACTCCTAAGTATGAGCTACCTGAACTCGGTGACGACTCTTTTGGCCTCGTCGAGCTCCTTGTCGGAGGCGAGCGCGTTCATAGGGTTGGTGAGCTGCAGGAAGTGGATCGCGCGGCCAATGTAAGTGACTGGTCGCAGCGCGGCTGTCGAGGTCGATAAGTATGAGCTACCTGAACTCGGTGACGACTCTCTTGGCCTCGTCGAGCTCCTTGTCCGAAGCGAGCGCGTTCATAGGGTTGGTGAGCTGCAGAAAGTGGATCGCGCGGCCCATGTACGTGCTTTGGTCGTAGCGCGGCTTGTCGAGGTCGATCGACATCTTGGCTGATTTTTTTCTGGACTGGTTTGATTCCTGGGAAAATATGATGAGAATTATTTGGGTATTTAGAACATTTGATAGGGGATAAGAAGAAGAAAGATCATTCTCGTCGATTACGAAAAAGCACTACTTAGTTGCTTAACTATAAAATAACCCTCTTTCTGGCACAGTCGGGTCAAACAAACGAATCAGAGAAAACATTAGTAAATGTCATCATTACAATAATATCTGTTCAAGTACACAGCCATGATGCAAATTAGTTCTGTAAACATTACAGGAAATAGATCGCGACGTCATCGCGTCAGTAAACTTATTTTCATGACGTGCCTCGATAAGTAAAACATACAAACTCGTCAAAATAAACGTACTAATGTCTCCGTGTAGACTTTGCGTGACCTTTACTCTGGAATGAAATTGTGTTTCGCATAATTTGTGAGCCGGAATACAAACTTCTTATTTTTAGTTTTTTTTTTATATTTTTATCCACAACGAGGAAGCTCTTGGCCTGTATCTCACCTGATGGTAGTGACGATCAGGCCCAAGGTGGATGCGAGCTTCACCCGGAATCCTCAACCACAGAGGAACTGGCTATCTTACCTCTAACTGCCGGAACACAACAATGCTGTTAACATTGTTGTTATGGCGACAGACTTAGGTAAGATGGTAGCTAGCCAGGCAAACTTAGAACAAGCCCTACCACCAACCAAACCGAACAGAAAAATCTGCCCCCACTGGAAATCGAACCTCTCTGCGTCTGAAGCAGGTGGTCTTACCACTAGACCACAGACGCTGTTAATTTTACTACAGGGTTAACAAGTAGGTACCTATTAGCATTTAATCTTGAAGCGAGAATAGCCCAACGGTTGCTGTCGTTTCAGGTCGGATCCCAGGAACACGGGTTCAATTTCCGCAGCGCCGCTGGACTTCGTGGTGAACCCACTCGTAAAACAAGACAAGCATATAGCTAGCTTACCTCAAGGACTATTATTTGTAATTATTCTTTAATTGGTGATAGAAAGTTTTGAAAATGGATCACGGGACCACCAAAGTCAAACTCTATCTACCCACCCTGATCAAGGCCTAGTGTCGGATAACTTTTACTTTTTCGGGTTTTGAATCATGTTTTGACGAAGTATTTGTCGAAAATTAGTCTTCTGCCAGTTCTCCTCGGATCTTAATCTTGAACTGTTTATGAGAATAATAATACATTAGGTAAGTTAGATAATATTTAATGGAACAATATTACACAATTCTTATCAGGAACGCGCATTGAACCATATGACATTTTAAGGATACTGTACAATGTTAAAACAAAATAAAAGTTAGTAGTTTTTTCAAGATAGGATTTAGTAAGTAAGTGTCCTCAAGAAAGACGAGTTACTTAGCTATAGGGACTAAGTAATCTGTTGTGGATAGGGCAAATTATTTTTTAAAACTTGTGTCAACATTTTTTTCGAAATGTTAGGCCTATAATATTTATAAATTCGAGGCAAGAATTTAAATTTTGGAACTGCGGTATTTTGCCAATTTTTTTTTATTAATATTAAAAATAGGTGCATTGAATACGCTCGCTTGGGTTTGCCAAGAAACATAATTATAATTGGTAGGTCAGTTTATTTAAATTTTGAAAAATAAAGTATTCACAGTTGTTCAAACATTTATATTTCACACGATTGTGTTATCTCTCTCATTAAGTAAGTAAGTAGGTGTGCTTTTATTTTTCTTTTCCGTTATCACGAAATCAGTTCTTATCAGAACTTGTTATCTGGATTATACTTGTTATTACATTTTTATATAATTCACGATTTGTTTTTGTAGGTTTATTAATTAGTAAAAATAATTATTTATTGCGCCGGTACGGTATTATTCTACGCTCGTAATTAATAAAATAAATATTATTCAGAATATAGGTATATCATCACCTAATACTTTTAATAAAGTGGGCGTTTCTTTTTCGGGAAAAAATAGCACACAAAGATACACCCAAAAATGTTTTAGGAACACTATTTCAGCTGAAAATTAATGAAAAATTGGGTGGTATAATATCTTACATAATAAAATACTAATTACAACTAATTACTACAGCAGTTTTAGATATTATTGTATCAAAAGAAACCGTGACCCGAGCACCTTCTTATCAATAGAATATTGTGATGATAATGACTGGCATCTCTTGCCTTGACATCTTCACAAGGATCAATAAAAGTAACAAATTGGCACTTACACTCGTAAAATTCGTTTAAAAACTGAAAAAAGCTTGATTATTATTTTGGAAATTATGCTACAGGGACTGCATTACATAATAACTAATAAAATTTAAAGAAATTGAAATTTTCATTGAAATAAATGTTCCAAAATTCACTTACCTAAAAAAGTGGTTCCAAAATATTTCTTGTACACGAAAAGTGGCGGATTAAACAAGATGTTGTAAATTGGCCTCGATAAGCTCGTTACGGACACGTAAGTTTCATTTTTTTGTCCAATTCTGTGTTTTATCGATGTGAATAGTTCAAATGTTGCGCCGTGACAGCGTCTCGGAAAATGACATAAAAATCAATTTGTTTCAGATGTTGACAAAAGGAACTGTGGCGCTAGTGTGCAGAATTTTCCTGTCCAAGATTTTTTAACTGGTAATTCCATGAAAAAATATAAACTATTTTTTAACAGAATGTAATCGAGTAGGTATTTATTACAATAATGTTGAAACAAAAATAAAAAGGTAAATCAAGAAAAAAAAATGATTGAGGAAAATAATAGCAAAAAACCACACGTTCCGTGACATGCATGCTTTGTTTGTTAAGTACGATTTTGTTTTTAAGTTTGAATTCAAATAGTAAATCATGAATAAACATCACCTTCCTAGAACATCAAATAAATCTCTCCCTTTATTATAGATTGAGACATTTTCAGAAAATAATTTAATAGGAAGATTTTTTTATTATAAGTAATGGTTACTGTCAAGCTTTATTAATCTAAGCTGTCAAACTACGTGGAACGGAATTCATAAAAATTACGACGTCTTTCGCTTGCTGCAGGGAGTGAAGCCAAAAATAATTTTTATTGTAAAAATAACCTTCTCAAAGGTTTTGTGATAATTTAAAACATGTCTTTAATTAGCAGAAATGTTTTCCGAGCCCTATTTCAGGTAAGTTATTCTTATAACTTCTTTTTATAGCGACAAATAGACATCAAAATAGTTGTGAAGAATGTTTCGTAACTACTGTGCGGTTCGTGGTATTTTTCTTTCGGTATTCAATATGAATGCTTTTGCTAATTATTTTTGATATATTTAAAATAATAACGTAGGATTTACAGTAATAGTGCAATAAAGGTACTCTGAAGGTAGATAATATTATCACGTGACAATTTTAAACAGCCATGAAAATAATTAAAAGCACTGTTGGAATATCCAAGTAAATTACTCTATAATTGAAGCAATATTGTGGTTTAGATTACAGATGCTGTAATAGATACGCAGGAGTTACTTCTAGACCGTTTTTTATTACTACTAACTACCTCCTTTAAAAAAACAACGCGACGCGTTACGCGTCTTGTAAATTTAAAAATTTAATCCTAAGCATAAATATTATGTACTTATTCGTATTAGTATCCTAACATATTGCAATTTCTATGCTTACAAATAATACAGCCCCTCTATTTATGATATTCTGGATAATACAAAAGTTCTTTGTTTGTTTTTTCTACAGGGATCGCAACATGTCGGCAAAGGCGTCCACACAAGCGCGGTAAACGCGGACAAAAACGTATGTTTAGCACCACATTCTATCAGCACCCTGGTGAGAACACTAACCTACCTTACTAATTGCAAGTATTCATAGAAAATGGCAATGAAGCAGTATTTTTGATGATTTTTCTGGACTAGAAACTGGTGACGGCAAGCTGCCTTATGCTTTAATACAGAAGTTTATGCCTGAATAATTAAAATAATTAAATTTTTATCTGTGTGTAATCAGGACTGACTCGGAATCTCTTGGACTATTTAGATTACTTAATTTTCTTCATTGCCAGTTTCTCCCAACCAAATATCCAAATAAATGTTATTGTTATAGTCCAAATTGTACAATTTTTTTTTACATGAAAGTTATTTATTTAAATTAACATCAAATTGTATCACTACACTATTGAGTTTTAAAATGTATAATTTACATTATTATTTTTGATCTGAATTGGTAAATAGCTAAGCTATCAAATTTTCTTTTGTATTTCTTTTAAATTATTATTTTTGAATTGTAAGTATTTACAGGTCCTTATCCTCAGAAAACTGTAAGCTTTTTATGTATAGATGCATGCATATTTTTTGTGATAAGTACGTTGTGTATCCCTTTTTATGGTAATTTAAGTCATTCTATTCTTCAACTGTTTTTCGAGTAATGTTAATTACAGTGTGTTATTATTATCAAAATTTAGATTAACTCGAAATGAAGTTTGTTTTAACAGATTTATTTCTTGACTGCACAGTTTGGCTTTTCAGCACGTTAATTTATGAAAATGTTTTTCAAAATTTTAAACGAATAGGATGACTATTACATAGCATGTTGTCTGGGTGTCTAAACACTATGTTATACCCCAAAATTGAAGATCATTTAGGGAAATCATTATTGGACGGGATTATAAATTATTCTGATGGGTTTCATTTGAGAAATTGTAATTAGCATGAACCCCGCAGCTTTTTTACACCTGTTTGATAACAGTCCATATTGGGAAACATCGATATTACATCGCTAAAAAATTACGCAGGCATTCAAAAACAGACACCAAATTCAAAAGTTTATTGATTATACATTGGCACTGGCACATTGGCATTACTAACATCATAAGCATACATATTTTGAATCTGAAATTGGATGAAAATGAATGGAAATCTTAAGGCTGTTGTTGGGCAGGCTTTTTTGTGCGAGCAACCTTTGTGTCGTCCAAATATAACTTTAACTATAACACGCTAGCTTAAGTATTAACTCTGTTATAATAGAAATAGGTACATCAGAATAAAAAGAATATAGAGTAGGTACACACTACAAGAGACACATAATGAAAGATACATTTTAATAAATATTGCAAAATCATCCACTACACTTATTTTTATTATAACAGAATCTTATAGATATTTACGTACTATGGTAAGTTTTCAAATATTGTTATTTATTATTATGTAAGTATCAAGTAAAGAAGAAAGGTGCTCTGAAACCAATAACTAAACAAAAGAAAAAACAATACATAATGACACAAAACATTATACATGTAGGTCTATACTAATACAACACACATAAATCTTTCACTGTCTAATAATGATTGAATGCAATTAATGACATTATCAGCATTGATAAATTTTATTCTTGATATTCACTTTCATATGATTTGATTACTATACTGTGATTAGGTTTTATTTTATCAATACTTGAGACAGTCAATTCCAAATGCGTCATAAATAGTCGATATCTAAATAATTGTTAATCCAAAAATGTTGTTAGTATTTTCTGTAAGATTTAATATCAAGTAAAATAATACAAATAGGATATTGGTCAGGCAATGGCAGGTATAATGGTCAGGTAATAGATTAAGTAGGTATAATGGTCAGTTAATTGACATTGACAGGTATATTAGTCAGGTAATAGACATATTGGTCAGTTAAATGCTTAGAATATAGGTCAGTTAATTACTCAGTATAATGGTCAGTCAATTGACAGACATAAGTCAGGTAATAGACAAATTTAATGGTCAAAAAATAATTGACATGTGCAGTAGTTAGGTGATTAACAGGTCAGATAATAATTGACAAATGCAGTAGTGAGGTAATTGACAAATTAAATGGTCAGATAAATAATTGACAAGTGCTGTAGTTAGGTAATTGACAGGTCAGATAATAATTGACAAGTGCAGTAGTCAGGTAATTGACAAATTAAATGGTCAGATAAATAATTGACAAGTGCTGTAGTTAGGTAATTGACAGGTCAGATAATAATTGACAAGTGCAGTAGTCAGGTAATTGACAAATTAAATGGTCAGAAAATAATTGACAAGTGCAGTAGTCAGGTAATGAGGGCTATCGTTTTAGCGCTCACCAGTTAGCGCCACTGTAGAGTAAGGTAAGGTAAGGTCCTGTCACTTGCTAGTAGCGAAGACAGTGGCACCAACTGGTGAGCGCTAAAGTGGTAGGAGGACTATTGCATTTGCACTCATCAAGATGGCGCCACTGTAGAGTAAGGTCCTGTCAATCGCCAGGGGTGCCAACTGTTAAGTATAAAAACGATAGCCCTCATTGACAGGTGTAATGGTCAGGTAACTACAGTTGTGGGCAGTTTGTAATCGCCATTATTCTGATGTAGCAATCGCAAGTGACGAAGGAAGGCCGCATCAAGTGCACCCTCATCCCCGGCGATGGCGTTGGCCCTGAGCTGGTATATTCCGTACAGGAGGTTTTCAAGGTACGTTTCAAACACGGATTAAAAATAACATTTTGACTTCAACCCCCATCAATACTGGATTGAGATTTGCAAAACATAGTTTTTAAAATTATATTAATTTAAAAATTAATTTAATTAAATATTTTAATTTAGGTACACCTATAAGATCAGTAAAAGGAGAATTGAAATCGGACTATAAATAAAATGAAATGGAAATAGCTCAGCGTGACGTCACATCGCATACGCCCATACTTAAACCTAGGCGCAGACCACCAACTTTTAGTCGGCCGAGTCGAGCCGATCGGCTGACGAAAAATCGGTGGTATGCGCCTAGGCTAACTTGTGTAGGACGCTGCGTGAGATTTTAACGTGTTAAGTGACGTCGAGATTTCAAATGCCTGTATCTTTGGTATTTTTAAGACCTCTTATAGAGTTTTGTAACGATAATATTGTATCATCGACGTACACATAGTCTAATGTGTCATGCTTAGTTGAACATGTATCTCTGGAACAGGCGGCGAGCATTCCCGTGGACTTCGAGTCGTTCTTCTTCTCCGAGGTGAACCCCACGCTCAGTGCTCCCCTTGAAGATGTCGTCAACTCCATCTCCAAGAACAAGATCTGTATCAAGGTTAATACTTTTTTAAAACAATACCTATTTTATGACTTTCTATTATTAAAATATTGTATTTACATCGACGGGATTTTTTGATATTTTTTCGTGGTTAACAACGTTTCGTGCTTTGAAACAATTCCTAAGTTCGTTTCAGCCGAAAGACGTCCACTGCTGGACAAACGCCTCAAATTACCTAAGTACTAGTCTTCAAATGGTTAAAAATAACTACGCTGACGTCGCTGACCAAAGATCCAGGCTTCGTATCAGTTTAGATCCTAAATGACTGTAATAAACATAATTTCACCAACATAAACTTTTTCATCGTGACTCGGAGCTCAGCGTAATGGTATAAGCAACTAATAGCGTTCATACTTCGTTCATCGTACATTCCTACAGCTATCGGTTCTACGAGCCATGCTCCCTGCTACTCAATAAGTTTGACAATTCTGCAGGCTATGTGCTTACCGTGGTTCTTCTATGTTTACAAAAGCCATTCAGAGAATGAAACAACATGATTTTTTTTTTGTTAAATAAGTTTATTAGCAATTTTTATTGCCCAAATTACTAATAGTCCCATTAGCCCCTCGTGTTAAGCTAAATAAGCTTGTGTTACGAGTGGGCTCACCACAATAGTCGAGTGGCGGTGGGAATCGAACCCGCGTTCCTCGGATCTCGAATTCTCGAGTCGGCCACTCCAACCCCTTTACCGTTCGGCTATCGTGTCTATAATTAAATAATATATTCTTCAGGGTATCCTCGCGACGCCCGACTTCTCCCACACCGGCGAGCTGCAGACCCTCAACATGAAGCTTCGCAACGCTCTGGACCTGTTCGCCAACGTCGTGCACGTCAAGTCGCTGCCCAACGTCAAGTGCCGCCACAGCAACGTGGACTGCATCATCATCCGGGAACAGACCGAGGGCGAATATTCAGCGTTGGAGCACGAGTCAGTTCCCGGTGAGTAGGAAGCATTCATCATCATCATTTCAGCCGTAGGCTCCTACCTGCTGGACATAGGCTTCTCCCAAAGATTTTCAGATTCGCCGGTTTTCAACGGCCTGCATCCAGCGCCTTCATGCAACCTTTATAGGCTCTTCTGTCCATTTACGTACAGAGAAAGGGTCAGAGTAAGACAACTGCCTCCCTTTGGAAAGGTGGACCCTTACATACCTCCCTTTGTTTCGTCCTTAAGTGTCTAAATGCGAGGATCCTGGCTAAAAATCTGATTTACCCCCCTTTGGTCTCTTCCTGGCTTAGAAGTTACGTACGCCCATGTATCAGTCCTCTTTGTAGAATACCAGTAAGTGCACGCCAGTCTACCCCTCCCTCGTTACAAACTGGATACGCCATTGCACCTGTCAACCTTGTGGTGCATCATCTACCGGGAAGAGCGGCTTAAACGTAGGTCGTCTTTTGTTTAATAAATAGTTAAAATGAAGTTGCGCAATGCGCTCGACTTCACAGCCAGGACGTGATGAGGAGAATGATCGTCTTTTGTTTAAAAATTACTTATAATGAAGCTTCGCAACGCTCTGGACCTGTTCGCCAACGTCGTGCACGTCAAGTCGCTTCCCAACGTCAAGTGCCGCCACAGCAACGTGGACTGCATCATCATCCGGGAACAGACCGAGGGCGAATATTCAGCGTTGGAGCACGAGTCAGTTTCCGGTGAGCCTTCCCCAATAACTTTCAGATTTGCTGTTGGTAGTGCATTCATCGCTTACCTGCAACCATTTTAAGATCTTCATCAATTGATCATCGTCATCATCATTGCAGCTATAGGACGACCAATGCTGGACATAGGCTTCCCCAAAGATTTTCAGATTTGCCGGTTTGCAGCGGCCTGCATATGCAGGCCGTAGAAGACCGTATAAAGGTTGCAGGAAGGCGCCAGCGCCTTCTTCGTCTTCTTTCCAGGGGTGTACGTACAGAGACAGGGAATGAAGGACAGCTGCGTCTATCCCCAGATATTTCGAGATTCGCCGTATTGTAGCGGCCTGTTTCCAGCGCCTTCCTGCAATCTTTATAAGGATGTGCAGTGTAGACGCTGTTCGTCTTTTGTTTGATAAATAGTTAAAATGAAGCTGCACAATGCTCTGGACGACCTGGATCCATAAAGAGGCCTGTATCCAGCGCCTACTTACAACTTAATTCGAGAGGAGGACACGTGAGGTCATCTGCCCCCACTAGAAACGGTATATCCTTACCTTTGTTTCGTCCTTTAAGTGTCAAAGTGCGGGGAGATCCTGTCTAAAAATCTGATTTCATCGAGGAATTTAGCCGAAAATCGAAGCGAATATCCATTGACGTACACAGGGCAGCAGGTCCCTCTGGAAATGGTATGGTAATGGTCTCTAAGATCTTTTCTAAAAGTCTGATTTGCACTTCTTTTGGCCAATCTGCCCCTTCCCTGGCTCAGAACAGAAGCTGGGTACGTCCTTGTCTGTCATTATTCCTATAATATTGTGTCAACTACTTTATTCTGACCACTGACTTCTTCCGCAGGTGTGGTGGAATGCTTGAAAATCATCACCGCCAAGAAGTCCGAGCGCATCGCCAAGTTCGCGTTCGACTACGCGGTCAAGATGGGCCGCAAGAAGGTCACCGCCGTGCACAAGGCAAACATCATGAAGCTGGGCGACGGGCTCTTCCTGCGATGCTGCGAGGACGTATGTACTTGTGATAAGAGCTATCTTCTTTCTTTCTTTTCAGCCAAATGACGTCCACTGCTGGACAAAGGCCTCCCCCAAGGTTTTCCACAATGAACGGTCCTGCGCTGCCCGCATCCAGGCTCTTCCCGCGACCTTTACCAGATCGTCGGTCCACCTAGTAGGAGGCCTGCCCACGCTACGTCTTCCAGCCCGTGGTCGCCACTCGAGAACTTTCCTGCCCCAACGGCCATCGTCTCTACGAGCTATGTGCCCCGCCCACTGCCACTTGATTTTAGCAATTCTGCGAGCTATGTCGGTTACTTTGGTTCTCCTGCGGATCTCCTCATTTCTGATTCGATCACGCAGGGAGGGGATAAGAGCTATATTGCAACGAATTTTTCCTGCGCTACTCTGAAGGGGCGTGGCAAACACTGGCTTCTTATGTAGTTGTAATAAAGTGCCATTTTGCATAAACATTGTATAGTTATCAAGAAGGTCACCGCCGTGCACAAGGCAAAAATCATGAAGCTGGGCGACGGGCTCTTCCTGCGATGCTGCGAGGACGTATGTACTTGTGATAAGAGCTATTTTGCTATAACAACGTTAGGGATGGCAACACAAAGATTAGTTTCTTGTGTAGTTGTAACAGGTACTATTTTCCAACGACATTGTTAAGTCAAAAAGGCCGCAAGAAGGTCACCGCTGTGCTCAAGGCAAACATCATGAAGCTGGGCGACGGGCTCTTCCTACGATGCTGCGAGGACGTATGTACTTGTGATAAGAGCTATCTTCTTTCTTTCTTTTCAGCCAAATGACGTCCACTGCTGGACAAAGGCCTCCCCCAAGGTTTTCCACAATGAACGGTCCTGCGCTGCCCGCATCCAGGCTCTTCCCGCGACCTTTACCAGATCGTCGGTCCACCTAGTAGGAGGCCTGCCCACGCTACGTCTTCCAGCCCGTGGTCGCCACTCGAGAACTTTCCTGCCCCAACGGCCATCGTCTCTACGAGCTATGTGCCCCGCCCACTGCCACTTGATTTTAGCAATTCTGCGAGCTATGTCGGTTACTTTGGTTCTCCTGCGGATCTCCTCATTTCTGATTCGATCACGCAGGGAGGGGATAAGAGCTATATTGCAACGAATTTTTCCTGCGCTACTCTGAAGGGGCGTGGCAAACACTGGCTTCTTATGTAGTTGTAATAAAGTGCCATTTTGCATAAACATTGTATAGTTATCAAGAAGGTCACCGCCGTGCACAAGGCAAACATCATGAAGCTGGGCGACGGGCTCTTCCTACGATGCTGCGAGGACGTAAGGCATTGTGGCTTCTATATAGTTGTAATACGGTGCAATTTTGCAGCAATATGTATACTATGCTGACTGTATGTGTACGGGGTAGGAAAACAAACACTCATGGTTCTTTATGTAATTGTAATAGGTGATATTCTGCTACGATATTGTAGACAAGGCAAACATTATAAAGCTGGGAGATGCTTTTTCTGCAATGTTGCGAGAACGTATGTGGCTTTTATGTAGTTGTAATAGGTGCTATTTTTCAACAATTTCGATCGAGAGAAGACCCGATATAACGAGAGGTTCGTGAAGATTGTAGTCCACAAACAATCTGAGATATGAGAAATATTGCTATGTAGGTATAATATGTGTCTGCCAGACACTGTCTGGTACACCATAGCTCTTTGACGGTTGAACCGATTTGAAAGCATAATATTCTAGCGTTAGTTCTTTTAATGTTTTATAAAACGTTTACTAAAACGTTTGTTTTTATTTGTATAGAGAACAATAGTGTCTAGACAAACCTAAAGAGGATTTAGGACGCTATTTGGATCAAATATGTAATTGCTCAATAATGTCAATAAAATAATAAATAAATAAATAAAATAAAAAATCGGTTCATCCGTTTCAAGTTCATCAGCTCTTAATAACCCGCATTCTCTTCACAGATGGCCAAACTGTACCCGCGCATCCAATTCGAGAAGATGATCGTGGACAACTGCACGATGCAGATGGTGTCGAACCCCAACCAGTTCGACGTGATGGTGACGCCCAACCTGTACGGGAACATCGTGGACAACCTGGCCAGCGGGCTGGTGGGCGGCGCGGGCGTCGTGGCTGGGGCTTCCTACAGTGCCGAGTGCGCCGTGTTCGAACAGGTCAGGACTTGTCAGGACTTGCTAAGACCCAGGAGAATTACAGCCCGGTCGAGTTAACTGCCTATCTGGCGGCCGAGACGTCACATCGACGCTCTAGTACGAACGGGGCGAAAGCGGAAAGGTCTGCGGGTAAGTGGGAGAGAGACAGTCGCATTCCAGCGAGGTGCGCAATTACCACATCAAACGACACCAGTTTCCTCCCTCCCAACATTAATTACCTTAATTAGCTTCGTAAATGTAACGTAGGATGGCTCGGAAGGACCAAACATCTTGTGAACATAGCTGGTAGTTACTGGATCAGAATGAGAGGTCAAGACTTACCATTAGAATTTGAGGTTGCAGTCTTCACCTATCAAACCCCTTCCTCCCAAGACCTTATTTTCTTAAATCTACCCTGATTAAATAAATCAGCAAATGTTCTGTAGTCCGGCTCGAAGGACCAAAAATCCTAAGAAAATAGCTCGCAGTAACTGGATCAAAATCAAAAAGGTCAGGCGTTGCAATCTACCTTAGTGGCTGGAAAATGTAGTGTAGGATCCAAAGAAAGTAACTGGTAGTAGCTGCATGGAAGACGGCGTCGAACCCTAACCAGTTCGACGTGATGGTGACGCCCAACCTGTACGGGAACATCGTGGACAACCTGGCCAGCGGGCTGGTGGGCGGCGCGGGCGTCGTGGCTGGGGCTTCGTACAGTGCCGAGTGCGCCGTGTTCGAACAGGTCAGGACTTGCAGCTGTAGGTATTACCATTGGCAGGAGGATTGCGACTCTGGTGTTAAGACTGTCAAGAGAATCTAAATATATAAAAGGAGAAACTGACTGACTGACTGACAGATCAACGCACAGCCTAAACGGCTAAACGTAGGCACTTGAAATTTGGAAGGAACGTAGCCTAGGTACCGTAGAGGTGCACTAAGAAAGGAATTCCCGAAATTCCCACGGGAACGGGAATTAGCGGGAATATCCTTTTGTATGAAAAATCTAAACCGCTTAAGTTAGATGAAGGGGGTAAAACGGGATCCACGCGTACGAAGTCGCGGGCGGCCGCTAGTTAGAAGATATTCGCCCACTAGACATCAAACGATGAAACGGTGGCTGGGTCTTCCTACAGCGCCGCGTGTGCTGTGTTGGAACAGGTCAGGATTTGTAGCTAATATTCGTCATGATCCACCTGAATGACATTCAAGATAGCGCGGTGTGTGTTATGTTCCAAGTTCAGGAGTTCGCCTTTGGCGCTAGGACTATAAGAAGAATTGCAGAATATTCGACCATGAGACACAAGTTTCCTCCCTTTCAAAATTACTCACTTTAGGTAGTTCAGCAAAAGTCGCCTCGAAGGAACAAAAATGCTAAAAAAATAGCTGGCAGTAACTGGATCAGAATCAGAGGGTCAGGCGTTGCAATCTACCTTAGTGGCTTGGAAATGTAGGGTAGGATCTAACAAAGTAGCTGTTAGTAGCTGCATGGAAGACGGCATCGGAGCCAACCAGTTCGACGTGATGGTGACGCCCAACCTGTACGGGAACATCGTGGACAACCTGGCCAGCGGGCTGGTGGGCGGCGCGGGCGTCGTGGCTGGGGCTTCGTATAGTGCCGAGTGCGCCGCGTTCGAACAGGTCAGGACTCCATTAGTACTTCCAGATACCAAGATATACACTTATAGATGAAGGTAGAATGTCTTCTGCTCGATGGAATGACGATCTTAAGGTGATAGCAGGCAACAACTGGAAAGAAGAGGTGCATTATGTTCTATGCACTACGCTTCAAACGACAGCAGTTTCCTCCCTCCCAACATTAATTACCTATCTTAGATATCTTAGTAAATGTAATGTAGGATGGCTCGAAGGACCAAAAATGTTGAGAAAATCGCTTTTAGTTACTGGATCAGAATGAGAGGTCGAGACTTACCATTCGAGTTTGAGGTTAGTTTAAGGTTAATTTCTTCCATCAGAATCCAAAGATTTTGGTGAAACCATCTCTAATTCAAAAAGCGCTTCTGACCTAGGTGCCAGGATTTGTCACGAAAATCGGCCCATCAAACATCAATAGACACCAGTTTATTCTCTCTCCAAATTACTCACTTTAGGTAGTTCAGCAAAAGTCGCCTCGAAGGACCAAAAATCATAAGAAAATAACTGGTAGTGACTGGATCAGAATCAGGTCAGGCGTTGTAGTCTGCGTAGCCGAGTTGCTCAGCAATTTAGTGTAGGATCTAAAGAAAGTAGTTGCATGGAAGACGGCGTCGGACCCAACCAGTTCGACGTGATGGTGACGCCCAACCTGTACGGGAACATCGTGGACAACCTGGCCAGCGGGCTGGTGGGCGGCGCGGGCGTCGTGGCTGGGGCTTCCTATAGTGCGGAGTGCGCCGTGTTCGAACAGGTCAGGACTTGTCAGGATACGCCCCGAGAATTGCAACCCTAAATGCCAGGACTTGTCACTAGAATTGGAAGATATTCGCTCATCAGACATAAAACAATACTAGTTTATCCTTCCGAGATTAACTACTTTCGGCAACCTAGCAATTATGTTAGGTAGGACGGCTCGAAGGACCAAAATTTTTAAGAAAACAGCTAGCAGTAACTGAATCAGTATAAGAGGTCACGATCACGAAGTCATTTAATTTTCACGCATCAGACCCCTTCCTCCCAAGACTTCTACCCATTATCTAAATCTTGTGTAGGACGGCTCGAAGGACCAAAAATGAAAGAAGCGAGAGATAGTGTTAAAAACACCAGTTATGGTTATAGTCACGGTTAAAGTACGATGGTGCAACTCAGCCTAAGCAAGTCGTCTCTCTATTGCCGTTTTGCGTTGCTGCGACACACATTATAAAGTGTTTACCTACTATTAAAATGTGTCAAATGTTTCTTTTTTACTATACCATGTCATATTTTTCTGTGTAAAGCCCGGTCTGTGAGCACGTAGAATTTTGTCCAATGACCCCAAGCTACCCATCCTTATCACTCGCGCGTAATTATATTGCTGTCGCGACTGTGCGATTACGCGCGAGTGATAAGGATGGGTAGCTTGGGGTCATTGGACAAAATTCTACGTGCTCGCGGACCAGACTATAGTATGTACTTTTTTAATTCTGCTTTTGGAACTTTCTGTTTGTAATGACTTGACTTACTTGACTTATGGTCATATGTCCCCTAGATGGGGCAGAGGGCGTCCACAACAGTCCTCCATCTCGTTCGGTCTTGAGCTTNTCGGTTACTTTGGTTCTCCTGCGGATCTCCTCATTTCTGATTCGATCACGCAGGGAGGGTATAAGAGCTATATTGCAACGAATTTTTCCTGCGCTACTCTGAGGGGGCGTGGCAAACACTGGCTTCTTATGTAGTTGTAATAAAGTGCCATTTTGCATAAACATTGTATAGTTATCAAGAAGGTCACCGCCGTGCACAAGGCAAACATCATGAAGCTGGGCGACGGGCTCTTCCTACGATGCTGCGAGGACGTATGTACTTGTGATAAGAGCTATTTTGCAACGAATTTTTCCTGCGCTACTCTGAGGGGGCGTGGCAAACACTGGCTTCTTATTTATTTGTAATAGGTACTATTTTGCAACAAAAATTTAGTCAATTTTTTCACGTTCTGCTATGAGAGGAGATACTCGTAGAATACACTGGCCCCTTATTTAGTTGTGATAGGTATGGTTTTTCAACGATATATATAGACTGATGAATGACTGATACTGTACATGAACTGGCGTTTCTGTTTCTGCTGCGATTTTGCAACAAAAATGTAGACTTTTCCTGTGTTGCTGTGAAAGGGTACAAGCTAAACACTGTGGATTTTTACCTTATGTAGTTTGTGATAGGCGGTCCGTATTTCGGAACGACATTGCGTAGTTGATAGTTGTGTCGGGCTGTTAATCAGTATGGAGATGTATGAACGTGCGCACTTTACGCCGATTTGGTATCGGCCGATTCATACAAATTAGAATCGGGCCCAACTATCGGCCAACTAAAAGTCAGTGGTCTGCGCCAAGGCTTACAAGACAAAAAAATATATTTCTGCATCTGCATCAGTACCTCTAGCATGAACAACTTTCGACTTCGAATCGTTTGCGTATTCGACAAAATTCGATATTCAACCTTCGAATTAAACGATAACGTGACAATTTTGATTCTCAAAATAAGTTTCGTTCAACCATTTCTCATACTAAGTTCGCTTTACGACACGTTCACAAGGGCGCTGTTGTAGTTTTCGTACTAAATCTTTTGACGGCGATTCGAGTACGCAAACTTTGATTTGAACTCGAAAGTTTTTCGTGCTAGCCGTACAGTTCCTAATATCTGGCATTTGTCTTTACAGATGGCCAAACTGTACCCGCGCATCCAATTCGAGAAGATGATCGTGGACAACTGCACGATGCAGATGGTGTCGAACCCCAACCAGTTCGACGTGATGGTGACGCCCAACCTGTACGGGAACATCGTGGACAACCTGGCCAGCGGGCTGGTGGGCGGCGCGGGCGTCGTGGCTGGGGCTTCCTATAGTGCCGAGTGCGCCGTGTTCGAACAGGTCAGGACTCCCTTAGTACTTTCAGATACCAAGAGAATTGCTGCTTGAATGACGAGGACAACCTTAAGAACAGGTCAGGACACTTTTCATATTTTCAGATACCAAGATTTTCGCCTGCAAATGTAGGGTAGGACGAGGACACAGAAAGAATAATAGAGAACTGCTGCTTGAATGACGAGGACGACCTTAAGAAACTAGCAGTAACGGGTAGGAAACGAGGATACTTTCTTCCATCAGAATCCCAAGATTTTGGTGAAACCATCTCTAATTCAAAAAGCGCGGAGTGCGTTCTGTTAGAACAGGTAAGAAATTGCAGCCCTAGGTGCCAGGATTTGTCACGAAAATCGGCCCATCAGACATCAATAGACACCAGTTTACTTTCTCTCAAAAATACTTACTTTAGGTAGTTCAGCAAAACTCGCCTCGAAGGACCAAAAATCCTAAGAAAATAACTCGCAGTAACTGGATCAGAATCAGAGGGTTAATCGTTGCAGTCGCGAAGCCTTGTTCTGTTCCTCAGCAATTTAGTGTAGGATCCAAAGAAAGTAGCTGTTAGTAGCTGCATGGAAGACGGCGTCGAAGCCCAACCAGTTCGACGTGATGGTGACGCCCAACCTGTACGGGAACATCGTGGACAACCTGGCCAGCGGGCTGGTGGGCGGCGCGGGCGTCGTGGCCGGGGCTTCGTATAGTGCCGAGTGCGCCGTGTTTGAACAGGTAAGAACTTGGAGCACTAAGAAGCCAACCCTAGCCAGGACTTGGAATTGGAAGATATTCGCTTATCAGACATGAAACAACATCAGTTTCTCCTTCCGAGATTAATTAGTTTTAGCAGTCCAGCAAGTGTAACATAGGACGCCTCGAAGGACCAAAAATTTTAAGATAACAGCTGGCAGTAACTGGATCAGAATGAGAAGTAAGGACTTTCCAGTAGAGTTTGAGGCAGCCCTAGGTACTAGTAATCATCACGAAGACATTCAATTTTCACGCATTAGACCACTTCCTTCTAAGATTTCTGCAAACATTGAGTAGGACGGCTCGAAGGACCAAAAATCCTGAGAAATTACCGGTAGTAACTAGATCAGAATCAGAGGGTCAGGCGTTACAGTCGCGTAGTTTAGTTGCTCAGCAATTTAGTGTAGGATCCAAAGAAAGTAGCTGTTAGTAGCTGCATGGAAGACGGCGTCGAACCCGAAGCAGTTCGACGTGATGGTGACGCCCAACCTGTACGGGAACATCGTGGATAACCTGGCCAGCGGGCTGGTGGGCGGCGCGGGCGTCGTGGCTGGGGCTTCCTACAGTGCCGAGTGCGCCGTGTTCGAACAGGTCAGGACAGGTCCCGAGAATTGCAACCCTAGGTGCTAAGACTGACGGCCGAGACGTCACATCAACGCTCTGGTACGAACGGGGCGAAAGCGGGAAAGTTGGTGGGTAAGTGGGAGACAGACAGTCGCATTCCAGCGAGGTGCGCAATTACCACATCAAACGACACCAGTTTCCTCCCTCCCAACATTCATTACATTAGTTAGCTTAGTAAATGTAATGTAGGATGGCTCGAAGGACGAAAATAGCTGGTAGTTACTGGATCAGAATGGGAGGTCAAGACTTTACCATTAGAATTTTAGGTTGCAGCCTTCACCTATCAAACCCCTTCCTCCCAAGACTTCTACCTTATTTACTTAAATCTACCCTGGTTACTTAAGACATCTGTGTAGTCCGGCTCGTAGGACCAAAAATCCTAAGAAAATAACTCGCAGTAACTGGATCAAAATAAAGAAGGTCAGGCGTTGCAATCTACCTTAGTGGCTGGGAAATGTAGTGTAGGATCTAAAGAAAGTAGCTATTAGAAGCTGCATGGAAGACGGCGTCGAACCCTAACCAGTTCGACGTGATGGTGACGCCCAACCTGTACGGGAACATCGTGGACAACCTGGCCAGCGGGCTGGTGGGCGGCGCGGGCGTCGTGGCTGGGGCTTCCTATAGTGCCGAGTGCGCCGTGTTCGAACAGGTAAGGACTTGTCAGGAGTTGCTAAGACTCAGGAGAATTTCAGCCGAGTTGAGTTAACTGCCTATCTGGCGGATGAGACGTTGCGAAACGGTACGGTAACAGGGTGAAAGCGGGGAGGTACGTAGTTCGATGGGATTGTAGAAGATATTCGCCCATCAGACATCAAAGGACACCATTTTTTTTTCTCCCTCTCAAGGACAGCTCAAAGGACCAAGGATGAAAGAAGTGGAAGATAGGACCCTTTAGATTTTTTGTAGCGGTTTTCAGTGTAATGTGGAGAACGGGAGTTATCAATGAAAGAGTTAATACTGTGCGTACTGTTAATATTAGTGTCTCCATTTACATAGCAACATCAGATTTATAGGTAAAGTGTATGTTAGTGTGAGGATGGCGCGTACACATACTACAGCAGTAGCGATTCACGTTTGCATTAATACAGTCGCGATGCTGTAGTGCGTTAACAATGCGTTGGTATCACTTCTGTAGCGCGCTGCAAAAGCGACTAACGCGAGTTATGTTACCTTATCAATGGCGCCCTCCCCCGTCTCACCGCGCCTACCTCAGGAGGTGCCTAGCACTTCCGCGCAGACTGTAGTAGTGTGGGATATGATGCTCAACCACAATAAGGAAGCTAGATTTTAGTGCTTCCTTCCGAGCGGGTGTTGTGCTCAGGGACCAAGGTCCAATTTCTACCATCTTGGTTTTCCTATATAAGCTGGGCAGGGTAGAAAACTCCGTCACCGCGATGCAGGATTGTACGCGCGGTGGAGTGTGCCATAGTGCAGTCGTAACAGCGCCATCTGTTGGTCACTAGTTTGTAGTGGCGTCGCCACAGTAGAGATACTGTCACTCGTTTACAAAACGCGCGACAGCATTACCGCAAAAGGCACCGTGGCCATAGTGTTAAAATATTTAGAAAATATTTGATTTGAAAGAAAGGTATACAAGCAGACAAGACATAGGTACATAAAGCAAGAAATACACAAGTTGACAGATAGCTGCTTGTGCCCCTCTGATTAATATTTGAATTTCAATATGTCGTCGCCAATAACTCAGTGTCTAAGCAAGTGGTCTGTCCACAGGGCGCGCGCCACATCTTCTCTGGCGCGGTGGGCAAAAACATCGCCAACCCCACCGCCATGCTGCTGTGCTCCGCCAACATGCTGGCGCACGTCAACCTGCACTCCTACTCCAAGATGATGAAGAACGCCATCAACAAGTGAGTTCGTTCTTCGTTTCAGCCAAATGACGCCTGCTGCTGGACAAAGCGGCTTTTACCCGTGGTCCCCCCAACATGTCCCCAATTTATTTTAACCATGGTCCCACCGCACTAAGTGGCAAACATTGCTTGTCACCTAGCCTAGGTATCTATAATATTATAAAAAAATCTATAATTAATATAGAAAATAATTATAGGTAGGTACGGCACCATAATATCTTTATAATATCTTCACATCACACATTTGGGTTAAAGTCACTCATATCCTACTCGGCGTTCGATATTTCATCCTAGACATAGTAGGTGACATGCAATGTTTGCCACTTGGTGCGGTGGGACCATGGTTAAAATAAATTGGGGACATGTTGGGGGGACCACGGGTAAAAGCCGGGACAAAGACCTTCTCAAAGGAGTTCCACAACAACCGGTCCTACGCTGCCTGCATCCAGGTACTTCCTGCGACATTCACCAGTACGGCTAGCACGACAAAACTTTCGAGTTCGAATCGTTTGCGTATTCGAATCGCCATGAAGAGATTTAGTACGAAAACTACCACAGCGCCTTTGTGAACTTGTCGTAAAGTGAACTTAGTGTGAGAAATGGTTGCATGAAACTTATTTTGAGAATCAAAATTGTCACATTATCGTTTAATTCCAAGTTTGTCGAATACGCAAACGATTCGAAGACGAAAGTTTTTCATGCTAGAGGTACATACAGGTCGTCGATCGGTCAAAAAAAGAGTGTCAGACCTTAATCAGACTGCAGTGACGCGTGCGCATTGACAGAGTAAATACAAATGAGTAGGTCATCTTCATAGAAACGCATCGAGCGCGGTTTGTATGTGAGCGCGCCAATACAATTCGGCGCAACACCCCGCTAATCCACGCTAAATTTTGTCAGTGTGTGCGTGCGCGCCGCATACGTGTTGGCGCGCTCACATACAAACCGCGCTCGATGCGTTTCTATGAAGATGACCTACTCATTTGTATTTACTCTGTCAATGCGCACGCGTCACTGCAGTCTGATTAAGGNAATGGCGGAGTCTGGATTGAACACCGCCGATATCTGAGGTAGTTGCTGACACAGCACCCATAGCGGGCAGAGCGTCAGCATTAAGAACACTGTTAGAACGTACCCTTAACAGTGACGTTGACATCCTCGTACAAGTTCATGTGGATCATGGCGGAGTCTGGATTGAACACCGCTGATATCTGAGGTAGTTGCTGACACAGCACCCACAGCGGACAGATAGCCAGAAGGTACAGCAGCACAAGGTGAAGCGGCCATATTGGACACATGATACCGCTTTTTTAATTACTGGAATAGAAACAAAAAGAATGGTTAGAAAAGGGATGTGTCCCGGGTAAAAAAGCAAGTCTAAATTAGTCGGTCAGTTAACCTATAAAAAAATACTCGACACGTCACTATTTTAAAGTAATGAAAATTGAGAGAGACAAAGCGCGCCAAAGTTCAAAAGAAGAGGCCTGTGACGTCGAGGCGTGGTTAAAAGTGTAGCACGGTGTGACGTCACGCGGAACTACAAAGTACCATAACTTCGCAATTACTTGTTTGATTGACAAATAAAAATATACATGTATTTAAAAATATTGGACGACTAAAAGTTTTTTAGGAAACTAGCCTATTTGGATTTGTAGTCAAAAACTTTTATCAAGAAAAGACTAGCCTTGAGGCTTGGAAAAACTGTATCAATTGGTTCAATAACGTGATTACACTGATAATAAGACTTATATTAGACATAGACATAAAAGTCTGCGATAAAAATATTTGCAAACTCCCGATTAGAGAGAGATAAGATACCTATAGAATATGTTGAATTAATTACTGATAAATAATTAAAATTATCAGGTGTAGCACACGTGATTGCATTCACAAGGTGCAACGCGTTTATAAACAACATGTTTATAAGAAAATTGTTATCTACAACTTGTATTTAATCGTTCTCCACAGTCAGTTAGATATATGATGTTAACTTAGGTGAACTTATTTAGTTAGACCAGTGGTTCTTAACCTTTAAGTCACGAGGGACCATTTTACCAAATTTCTATTTGTCAGGGACCACTCATTTTTTTTACTCGACGGCGCCGCGGCGTTGCTTTGGCTCGACTCATCATGTCACATCACTTGTTTATTACGATGTTTTCGCGGACCACTTGGAATGCCTCCAGGGACCACCAGTGGTCCGCGGACCACCTGTTAAGAACCACTGAGTTAGACTGATGTAGTCTAATCAAAAATTGAATCTAAGTGTAATTTCTTATTTTTAATAGTTATTAAATTTTTAGCATTAAGAGTTGCATCTCAAACTAATTTGAAAACTATAAATAACTTGAAAAAATCGAACTGCCTAAGGCGGGAATTGAACCCACGACCTTCCGCTTGCCAGGCGACTGCTCTTTCAACTGAGGCAGTTCGATTTTATCAAGTTATTTATAATTCTTATTTCATGTTTAAAGTAAATAGTTTTATTGTATTGTTATTTCATTAGTATGAGGCATGAGTTACAGTAAATAATAAATACACTTATTAGTTGAACATGTTAACGAGTGTGTTCAAATAAATTAACTATGAATGAATTTGCATGTAAAGTAATTATTATTTGAAATGAATTGTATAGTAAGTTTTAGAGGCAGAAGATAATAAATAATCAATGTATCAAGAACAGTTTATTGCAAAAAAGAATGTTAATTAAGAAAATTAGCTGATACTTCAACTCATAATGTATCTCGTAATACAACCTTTTTATCCACTTTTAATCATCATTAATTTTTAATTTACACTTCGTAAATCATAAGAAGAACCTTATAAAAGATCCTTAGTAACAGTGAAACTGAGTCGATAATACACAAAAACTAAGGCAGGATACCAATGAACCGAATAATAACCGCACACGTAACTATTATGAAAAGGGAAAACAACACTTGAAGAAACTCACACGTTGCTGTTAGAAAACGTATAGCACATGCGTCCGCGCCGAATGCTGGTTAACAACTACACATATACTTGTAAACCAACGTATTATAAACGATCGACTACATTATTGTTTATCTTATCACTGAATTCGGAAACTATATCGTACTAAGCTATCGAAAAGTCATAAAACTGCGCACGAATAGGCAGGCAACCCGTGACATTGTAGTCTCGTGGGGCTGGTCACGTAATTGATAAGGATTACTTAATTAGTACAGGTAATCAATATCACGGTACATAGGCACCGTTTGCGGATGTTGGGGGCTTCATAAGCCTTTAGCCCAGGCGCAGACCACCGATTTTTAGTTGTCCGATAGTTGGGTCGGGCTGTTAATCAGTATGGGCATGTATGGAAGTGCGCACATTACACCGATTTCATTCTTCATACAAATTAGAATCGGGCTCAACTATCTATCGGCCGACTAAAAATCGGTGATCTGCGCATAGGCTTAAGTGACCCCTTTGAAAACAGAATTCCTGTAGTGTTACTATAGGAGTCACTTGAAAATTAGGGATTGATAGTTAAAACGGGCATTGGGCCCTTATTTTATGTGAGTTTTCTGTAAATTATGTAATAAGATAACATGTAACGTGTTTATCGCCTGAGATATTGGTCTGCAGGTGGTTCAGGCAAAGGAAGAGTGCATTTAAAACGTGTGTCTCAAAACTGCTGATGATAAAAAATAAACATTGATAAACTTCATTCATAAGCTCAGTTTATTATCGTTTTTTTTAAATATCTTTACAGACAATAACTTGTTTAGCAATAGCCCTACTAAACTAGGTAATGTTTGAGGACAATGCTGAGAAGAAGCAGGACAAGAAACAGTGTCACTATTGTCAGCCACGACTTTAATTTTTAGTTAGTGTTTGTACTGGTAGGCTAGGTTCAAATACATACATGAACTGAATAGACCATTAATGGTTTTCTTAGTACTATTCATACAATAGGGACTCTAGTAATGACATACTGGCTAGCCCTATTGTCAATGTCAAAATTTCTTTATTTGTATAGACTATTATATAGTACTTACAAATCATCAAATATTTTGCTCTTAAGAGGCTCCTTACATGTCTCATAATCTTTTTACCCAACCAGCGCTTCGAAACCAACATTTGGCAAGTGCTGAGAAGAAGCGCAACAAACTCAGTCACCACTGTCTGCTAGTTAATATATTGGTAGTGCCATAGAAAATCTTGGTATTTAGTTCTAGTTCTAAGTTCCTCTTATCAAGCTTTGGTGTGGATAGCAGGCAAGCCAGATGGAGTGCTGGTGGTACATATAATTTGCAAGTCATCATTTCCAATCCGTTTTGACTAATTAATTTATTAGCAAGATATAATTTGACAGACACGTGTATCATGCCTCTTTAGCACGCATATCCTTATCGTATGTCACGTTCATCTAAAACACGATTATCCAGATAGCCGAAGGCTACCTTTTCATGCATATTTTAGTCAGCATTATTTATTATTTTTGGCACTTGTAATATCGCATCGCAAGCGTCAATGTCAGGCCGCCACCAACCGGCCATTGTGGAAATCATTGGGGGAGGCCTATGTTCAGTGGACGTCCTGTGGCTGATATGATGATGATGAAGCGTCAATATCAATACAGCTTTAGTGCAAGTAAGTTCAAATACTTAGATTTATAGCAGTTTTGATTACACTTGCAGGTGTGATCTTACAACTTAGTTATTTTTTTCGTTCACTCAGTGAGTATATTTTATTTCTTATGTCTCAAAATCTTTATCTTTAGGTAATTAACTTCAGTATTTCATTCAAGACATAAACAGCCAATGAAAGATTACCTACATTAACTTTAACTGATNGCGCGCCAATACAATTCGGCGCAACACCCCGCTAATCCACGCTAAATTTTGTCAGTGTGTGCGTGCGCGCCGCATACGTGTTGGCGCGCTCACATACAAACCGCGCTCGATGCGTTTCTATGAAGATGACCTACTCATTTGTATTTACTCTGGCATTGATTTTGGCGTTTGCGTGTTTACAATGCCAAACATACTTCGAGCGGGTGAATCAATAGTTCAGGGGGCGTAGTGTGAGTTTACGTCAAGAGTATTCGATATCGACCGAGTTAAAAAATATGGAGATATTAGTTCTTAGAAGTTTCCGCTAGGGGCGCTGTACAAAACTATGAAGTCACACAATAAAACAAAAGATAATCCTTTCTGACCCGTGGAACACCAAAGTGGTACACCTAGGTGTTCCATGGTTTAAGATAACACCGGTCAACAAAAAAAAAATTTTTTTTGCGCATGGATTTTACTTATTATATTCTGATTATGTAAGCAAATGTATATAAAAAAGTGCGATTACAAATCGAAAATATTTGCTTTTTAAANGCAGCGTTCCAATAGCTCGACGTTGGAGATTTTCTCGGGCCAGTATATGCCGAGAATTCGGCGAAAGCAGCGGTTGATTTGTTTGTAATGCGTGTTCCTGATAAGCAAATAAACGTTTTATCTATCTATCTACCCACAGGGCGCGCGCCACATCTTCTCTGGCGCGGTGGGCAAGAACATCGCCAACCCCACCGCCATGCTGCTGTGCTCCGCCAACATGCTGGCGCACGTCAACCTGCACTCCTACTCCAAGATGATGAAGAACGCCATCAACAAGTGAGTTTAGCTTTTAACACCTTCCTTCTTAATATTTCTACTCCAACAAAATACGGCAGAATATGTAAAGCCCGGTCTGTTCTGCGTAATTATGTTGCTATCGCGCTCGCACTCTCACTGCGGGTGCCAGTCGCACAGTCGCGACGGCAATATAATTACGCGCGAGCGATAAGGATGGGTAGCTAGGGGTCATTGGACAAAATTCTACGTGCTCACAGACCAGACTATAGAACTTTGTAATTTTAAGAACTGTTGTAAGTTTGTAACCATATTCATTGAAATAAACTATTCTATTCTAAGAGCTATCTTACAAAAGATGCCCAATTTTTTACCGAAGCTGAAGACCAGTTTGCAAGCGAGACAGAGATTTAAGTCAAGTAACGGTCGCGTTCTCCCTTGAAGTTCTTTTGTCTTGATTGCTCTGTTCTCGCCGTAACAGAGCAATCAAGACAATAACAACAAAGGAGACTTGCTTTTCCAATCACCGAAAAGAAATATAAAATCACAAAAGCAAAAAAACTTCTCCAACCTTGTTTTCTTGCAGTGGAGATTAAATAACCTGAATAGTATATGAAAGACTAGCAGAACGTCTATGAAACCAAACGTAGCAATTTTGCTTTGGGGTAATCTAAATATAGCATCCACAACCTTCAGATAAAAAAGTATGAAGTGACATAAAACAAAAGATAATGTAAGTCTATTACGTCACTACAGGGACTTGCCCTTCCCAACTGGTCTTTCTTCAAGATTCCTTGTCTAAAATGAATTCTTTCCCAGTATAGATAATGCTAATATCTTTTTTCCAGGGTTCTCATGGACGGCAAAGTGAGGACAAAAGATCTGGGCGGCCAGAACACCACCAAGGACTTCACAAACGCCGTCATCCACAGCCTCGACCACTAAACACAGAACTGACACTAGTGTTGCGTGCGTATAATTACCGATATCGATATCCTTGAAAAAGTAGACGTTATATCGAGTCAACAGTACAAAATAATTCAAATGTAATGTCGATATTTATGTTGAAGACAGCATTTGCCTTTAGCCAATGTAGAACGTAAGTTTCGATTAGATAATACTCATGCTATCTTCCATGTACAATATCGATAATTCTAACAAGTGACAATACTTAACTACTTTTAAAACTTAACGCAACATTTTACACGGTAGCTCGTAAGAATATTTATTTTAATCTAATTTTGTCTTAGATCTGTCAATGAATTTAAAATGCAAAAATCAGTTTTAATTTCGCAGTATTTTTTTAAAATTAAGTAGAAAATCGACATTGTTACCAAATGTAAATACAATAAAACAATTTTAAAGTTGCTTACTGTTTTATTGGTTGCTTTGTCCACCGATACCGTCGCGACTTGGTTGAACGTACACCACTATTGATATGAGGGGAGACTGACACTGGATAATGTTTTAGTTACATGACTTCGGTTGTTTTGTTCTGTCTTCGTTAGGACGGTTGACTCGGCGTTGTTGTGGGATCAGTCGTAAGCGCCGGGTTGCGGTATAACTCTCGGAACTGCTAGCTTCTTCACTCTGTCTGATATCACGTACTTTAGGGCGCCCCTTGGAACCTGATGAAGAATATTTTTTATTAGAATATAACTAAAAGAAGGTGCATTACTTTATCGAATTGTTAGCTCGCAGTATAATGTTATAAGTACAGGATTACCGATATATCGATATCGATACAAAAAATCTGTAAGGCATCACTAAAATTTGTCATTAGGAATAATATGAATAGAATCTTAGAGTAGGCGCACACCGTTGATTTTTAGTTGGCCGCTAGTTGTGCCCGATTTTAATTTGTATGAAGAATCGGCCAAATCGAATCGGCGTAGTGTGCGCACTCCCATACATGCCCATACTGATCAACTGCCCGACTAAACTATCGGCCGACGAAAAATCAACGGTGTGCGCCTACTCTTAAACTTACTTTGATAGGATCTCTGTACCAAGCTTCCTGCGAGAGCCGTTTGTAGATCTTGAAGTCTGGCCGGTAGCATATCTGGTTGATCCTCGGTAGTAACTGGTCTAGAGGTTTGATGTTACCTCTCTGTAAAAGCAGATAATAGTTTGCCATTAGAAATTCTACGTAATAAAAACATGAACCTCGAAACTGGAGATTGAAAAGAATTAAAAAAATATATCCTTGATGTCAGACTAAAATAATAATATGAGCCATTATAGCGTGGCCCAAACAGATTATGCGTCGGCGTCGAGTCTCAAGAAGGGTCGTGCGAGATACGTTTGAGAATATACATGAGCTCTTTAGTAATTAACTTCTTCGCTTGTACAGCTGTATCCACAACCGAAAGGCCAACACAAGGATCAGCTTTTAGGCCCGGTTTCCATCAAAGCGGAGGAGAGGAGATGTGTTTGAATGACCAACCGGATCTCGTTAATTCCACATCACTTCTCCGCATATTCGGAAATCTTTATAGTTATTCAAACACCTTTGCGCTCTCCGCATTAGTGGAAACCGGGCCTTACGCGACGCGTGCGTAGTGGAGTTCAATTTTCTGTGTTGCGTAGACGTTACAAGAATGCCTACGTCAGAGAATGGCTTTTGTAACAGGTTTGTCTTACCTTTATAGGCGGGGGTTTGAATATCTCCTCTCTTCTAGGCCCGGCGATCTGCCCAATATAATCCATGTGCTTCTTCCATTCGCTCTCGGTCCAGCCTCGCTTCTTCTTAACCTCCTTTGTGTCCTGTTTCTTCAGATCTAACACGCAGTTGGCGAGCTTGGAGTAGCATGTCACGTTGGCCGCCTCGATCATGCGGTCGATGCGCTCCATACGCTCTTGGCTGAATCGGTGCTTGTACATCTTTTTGATGATTAGGAAGCGGCTGGAATTTGAGGGTAGTTATTAGGTAGGTTAGGTATTTAGTAGGTGCGATATACAGGATGGAAGTACCTACTCTTAATACTGAAGATAGAAAATTTTACTAAAAGAAAACATTCCTTTATTTTTGAAAAGAAAGAGAACTGCATTCAAAGATTTTCCAAAATTTTTCGAAAATTCTGTACCATGCCATACAATTTTCTGTACATAATTAAAATTATTTAAGATTTCATGGTTTTCCTTTCATTAGATTTATCAAGTTTGTTAGAGAGATTTTATCGTTATACTTAACCCTAACGATCGATGCAATAAAAATACAGGGTGTAATTTTTAACAGATTTTAGTTGGTTCGATTCCCGGGTGTGGCAAGCAAATTTTTGGAAATCTTTGAATGCAGTTCTATTTCTTTTCAAAAATAAAGAAATGTTTTCTTTGAGAAAAAAATTCTATCTACAATATTAAGAGTACTTTCCCTCCAGGTGGCATTACAAAATTCCACCCTGTATAATAATTACTTAGAATGAGAATTGAAGCTGGGCAACCACACACAAGAGAAAGTTCATGGGTTCAATTCCACCCGAGGTTATTTACGAGGAGATTTTTTTGTGTTATAAAAATACTATGATCTTAAGTATTTGACATTCATTGATTTACGTTATAAATCAAAATGATACAAATCTACAAAAAAATCAAAACATTTACCATGCAGCTTGCGATCTCAACATATTTGATACCTATCTCAATCTCAGTAGTTAGTGTGATAGTATTTAACCGCATAGCAATTGATTTATCTCGCGGTGCTTGAAGGGCTACAGTATCAATATGTAATCACACGATTGCCAATTCCTTATTAGCGCGCGCTTTCTATCCTAACTATAGTCTATCTATCGAAGTGAGATCAAACTTACCGAATATAAGGCCATGCGGCGTCATTGACCCTGTCTGACAGTTGCGCGTTAATCGCAGACTTTCGTATCCCTCTTGGCGTGAGAGCAGGCATACCTTCACCCGTATCGATGATGTAATTCCTGGGTACACTCAGAATATTCAGCCTCCTGGATATTTTGTAAGGGAAGGTGCTCGTTGGCTGATCGAACTTCGGCTTGCCCATGGTAGCTAGCTATTCAGAGAGTTATATGGTGGTAGGGGGAATGTCCGGGTGTTACATTTTATATTTTTGTGTTTATTTCAATTTGGTGTCCATTTTCGTGCGCTCTCGACGGCGGTGTTGGTTGACAGGTGTCTGAATTTCGAAGTGTGGGTTTTACTTTTTTGTTTTTATGAAAAGGTTGTATTGTAATATTGAAAAAGTATTTCCTTGCAAACTTTTGTCTGTGACTCTGTATGATGTGAGAAATGAGTGCCTTGTGTACTTTTGCGGACGCTACGGACCAAACTGAATTTTCAGATGGATCAAGTTTATTTTGTAACCTATTATTTACTTACACCGTTTGCTACAGCTTTCACGAGCTCGTGAAGCACTTCAGGATCAGTAAACAGTTTTTAGATACCTTGTACTTACAAGCGATTATTTCTAAACTCAGATCACTTATTTTTCGCACTCTGTACAGTGTGTATTTACTAGGTATGTAAAGATGTAAATGAAACCACAGAAATGTTTGAAAACGTTTGTATTAAACCTTAACATAAATTGTTCTTTTATAAATTCACAACAGAATACTGATCTTCACAAACGTACAGCAGCCTTGTTTCACATCTGTTTCACCTATAAAACCAGTCATGTGAACGACTGTTTTACATTTTGAGATCCTTCACTATGGAAAAAGCAAACCTAAAAGTTCTATTGAAGATGCAATGATTGACACAAGCGTATCTTTTGAAAATTGCCTAATGTAATAGATAATTATGTAAAAAATAATATTCCAATTTATTATACTCTGATCATTCTAAGACAAACAACAATAAAAACTGTGGCAACATATTTTGAATCTTATTCCAATGTTATAAGCTACATGCATGTCGTTTAAAAGTAGTTATAATTTATGCCACGGGCGGCGATAGTGTCAATCATCGCAAAAACAACGGAACGCAAACTTGCGATAACTATAATAATATCATAAATATCTCACGTTGTAGACTACATTTTTAATTAACATCATAATATAACGGATAAATAAATACATAACAACAATAGAATATGTATACAGAACAATATTTCACATTGTGACAAAAACTGTAGGTACAGTCACGGAATGAAAAGGTTCGTCAGTTTTCAAATTGATTCCTTCAACGAATCGCGAGCACATATTACCTTTTGAAACTATGTTACAGAATAATCTCGAGTTAGAGAAAATAATCTTTAACTGTTCGTCAGTAAAGTTCCAAATTATTCAGATCAAAGTTGTTTGACGATTTATCTTGTCAAGAAGATTATTATGATTGATAAACTAAAACCTTCTTGTTGGTTCAACCTGCCATTATTATTTCTATTAAATAAAAAAAACTATTGTCAATTGGTCAATGTCATCATTGCATTACACTGATGGGATAGAAAAATAAACAAGGAAAACCTTATTTGTTAGCAAACGTCATATTTATTTAAATGTTAGCAGCACTGTTTCTTGCACGGTTATGTTGGCAGGTTTGACTCTTACAGTACCTAGTGCAAGCGAAAACCGACACTAAGGTGACGAACCTTTTCATTCTGCGACTGTACATTGAATTTGTTGTGTAACAAATATTTATGTAATTCGGCTGTCAAACAGCATAAATTCGAATAAATAATAACAAATATTCAATAATATCTTTGTTAAAATTAGTCTACAACGTCGAAATTGGAAATAATAAGCAAAAAATAACATAAAAATAAGCGACAAGACATTTAAATCCTCCTACATTTTAATTTCATTAATTTAAAAGTGCCCATCTCTATTAATTGTGCAAGAGAAACTCATTGAAATAAAAATAATAAATCAGTTTTACGTGTGACGTACATTTTATAGGTGAAAATCAAATAAAATGACAAAAAGGAATGTCATTAAGAGGGGCGAGTGGCGCCAAAACATATGAAGGCCTGTGCCACCTCTATAATAAATTAATATATTAAAAAGTTCTCAAAAAACCTTCCAAAATTTAAGTAGTTCTTGATGCAGAAATTTTGAGCACCCATCAAAAAATAAATGTTACAAGAATTGACTGCGACACTGGTATACAGACACATCTACGAGTATAACATACATATTTTATAATAAGTTAGTGTTCCCACTACCTTTTATGATAAGTAGATCTTTTATGTGTTTTGAATGCATTAATATCAATGCTGAGAACACTCCCAGGTATTAACGTGTTTAAAAACAATGATGTAACTTTAAAATTTATCACATTCCAATCTTAATGATACTAAATGCTTTTGATTCATTGATAGACCAAAAATAATGCTTAAAAAACAATTCCATATCTCCACAAAAGGCAGTTATTGTTACAAGGCAGTGTATAAAATGCTTTCAAAGTTGTACAATGCCAAAAAACTTAATTTTCATTTTTAATGGTCTCAATGGTGCGTATTTGAATCATAATAGTTTCGCCAATGTCAAATGGGACACGATAGAGTTTGAAGTCTTCTACTCTTCATTGAATTTTGCAAGTTTTTGTTACACGCTGTAAAAAATTAGTGATTATTACACAACTTGGCTGTCTCTACCATGCGTCCAGTTTTAAGCTAAACAAATGGACCCATTTTGATGCGGTTTAAAACTTTAAAGTTACACCATCGTTTGGCCTGGGCTATCGACAAGTTTATCGACTCTAGGCAGCACTATTTGAGGTTGCCATCAATGGTTGTGATGCCGTCGGGCTGGCCGACTTCATATACGGGTGTGACGGGGTCTTCCACGATTTTTTTGTGTCGATTTCTTCGGGCGACAATGCTGGAAAACACATAAATGATTAGGAAAAACGTATTGGTGTTGGAAGTTGATATCGATGTAGAAATGACCAGGCAAAGAAATGTGTATTTTTCAGGAATATTTTTTATAATTCGTAAATGAGTTTATCATAATAAATCGGCGATAAAAATGTTGCTAAGAATCAGATTATATTGGCTTTCGATATGCCTTTACACTTTATTCATTAATTTGTCATTTTACTGATCTTTTCCAAGTAATTAACTGTAGTAATTCGAATAAGTAACTTAAAAGTAATGTATTTTATATCGACTTTAATCAAGAGTTCTAAAAAAAAGAAGTATGTACCTGGTCATTTCTAAATAGATTTAATTGAGTGTACAGAAGTAGGTAAAAGTGTATTTTGTATTGTCTGCCTCAGATCATTGAAACAAGTGAGACTTGTAAAGGGTTGTCTAGAATCCAATACATGAAAATAAATTAAGACTGATAAAGAAAAATGCCACGTGATTTGGTCCACGTATATATTTGTATAATGCCCGTTTTCACCATCAATCCCTAATTTTTAATTGACCCCTACGAAAAGAAAATTCCTGTTATGTGTTATCATAGGGGTCACTTAAAAATTAGGGATTGATGGTGAAAACGGGCATAAGACTTTCAAAGAAGCCGACTTATGCTCATACAAACATTACACATAGGGTTTACGTCTCTTGGCAATTGATATGTAGGCTAATATGTAGAAATAAGTAAAAAAAAAAAGGAAAATACCTTAATTATCTGAGTCAAATAAACTCGAAAGATAAGATTATACAAAATACGAGTTAGTGTAGTTGATTATTTTAAAACTCATGAAGAAACAATTTATCAGATACCTACTTATAAAATTTACTTTAGAATTTTATTAAGTAAAATTAATTCATATTTAATTAAATTTACATTAAAATCTAGAATTCTAGACAATTCTTTACGGATTTTACGAAGCACAATGTAATAATAAATTTCAGCGAGAAGAGTGACGAAATAAATAAAATAGTAAAGAAGTAAGAAAATAAAAACAGAAGAAAAGAACAAGTGAAATAAGTTTGCATTCTACTGAAATTATTCAATACACGTTGAAAAAGTACATACATACATGCATTATTTTAATAACAAATAGATACATACTACTAATTTCACAGCACATACCCAGTGATGAAAGAAAGCCAAAAACATAACCCAGCATACATAAAATACATCGACAGTGTACATAAGAACATATTATGTCCCACTTGTTTCTCCCTGAGACATTGATCGTGTCTCGTGCGTAGTTTAAAATTATCGCATGTCACATCAGAAAGTAGAGTCACCGTCAAATCGTTCGTGACACCCAAAGTGGCCAAAAAGTTGACATCATTTTATCAAATTGTAACAAAAACGTGTTGCGAACTTTTTGGCTACTTTGGGTGTCACGAACTATTTGAGGCTGACTGTACGTAGAAGTAATGTGTTTGTGTGGTAAAAGACAATCGTCAAATGAATTCGAAACAAAGACCCAGTGTGATAAGACTAATAGGTCTAAAGCCCGGTCTGTGAGCACGTAGAATTTTGTCCAATGACCCCAAGCTACCCATCCTTATCGCTGGCGCGTAATTATGTTGCTGTCGCGCTCGCACACTCACTGCGGGCGCCCGTTGCACAGTCGCGACAGCAACATAATTACGCGCGAGCGATAAGGATGGGTAGCTTGGGGTCATTGGACAAAATTCTACGTGCTCACGGACCAGACTATAGCGCTTATTTGAGTCGGTGCCTGAGGTATGGGAGCAGCACAGTGTTTTTGTGAGAGTCCAACGTCAGAGACGTCATGGGGCGTAGTGTGAGTTACCTCAAACATATACGATATCGACTGCGTTAAAAAAATGAAGATTTTAGTTCATGGAAGTTTTCGCTTCGGGTGCTGTACAATCCGTCATACATTTAATGTCACTTTTTTATGCAGTCGATATCGAATGCGTTTGACGTAAACACACTACGCCCCCAGTACCTCTAGCATGAACAACTTTCGTCTTCGAATCGTTTGCGTATTCGACAAAATTCGATACTCATACTTCGAATTAAACGATAATATGACGAAATACGTTTCGTGCAACCATTTCTCATACTAAGTTCACTTTACGACAAGTTCACAAGGACGCTGTTGTAATTTTCGCACTAAATCTTTTGATGGCGATTCGAATACGCTAACGATTCGAACTCTAAAGTTTTTCGTGCTAGCCGTACAGATCTCCTACAGATTTGTATGCTCTGTCACGTCATGTCATTGTCACTCCTCCCGTGCCGCTCCCATGCCTCAGGCTAGTACCAAAGTAAATACAAATGAGTAGGTCATCTTCATAGACACGCACCGAGCGCGATTTGTATGTGAGCGCGCCAATACGTTTGCACACACTGTCAAAATTCGGCGCAACTCCCCGCTAATCCACGATAAATTTTGTCAGTGTGTGCGTGCGCGCCGCATACGTATTGGCGTGCTCACATACAAACCGCGCTCGGTGCGTTTTTATGAAGATAACCTACTCATTTGTATTTACTCTGCTAGTATAGACTTATTTACGAGCTATACTTATACTTTACGTTGACGACCTATTATTAAATTTTGAAGTAACATGTCGATAATTTTACCCTATATCCAAAAACCGATAGTGCAAGCGTCCCCATTTTACCACAACCCGAACTTTTTACAAAACAGACGTACCTCCCATACTATGACGACAATCGAATGTGTATGATGTTCGACACGTAATGTTTATATGAAAATAAAAAAATAACAACATAAACAAACTTTTTCAATCAACGTTGGTGTGTATGGGCCCGATTTCAAGACAATCCTACTATACTACTAATATTATAAATGCGAAAGTTTGTGTGGATGTCAGGATGTCTGGATGTTTGTTACTCTTTCACGCATAAACTACGGAACGGATTTTGATGAAACTTTACAGTATTATTCTTTATAACCCAGAATAACATATAGGCTATAATTTATGACGATATGTGACAAATCTATATATATAAAAATGAAACCCGTTTCGCGTTGTCACGGCATCACGTGTGAACGGCTGAACCGATTTCGATAATTCTTTTTTTTAAATGTTTGTGGAAGTCCAAGGATGGTTCTTACGGAAAAAAATATTAAGAAAATCTCTACGCTAAGGCGGTACGAAGTTCGCCGGGTCAGCTAGTTTTCAATAAATAAATAAGACATGTCTAAAAAGCGCTATCTATCTTCATTTGTTAAAATCTACAGCGCTGTAAAAACTACTGTGACGTTCGTAAATATTTATGCGGTAGAGGGAAGCCGTGAAACGCCATCCACAGCCGCTAGTTTTTTATAAAAAGTGTAAAAGGGCTTTTTTTTAAAAAGCTTTATGAGCAGTTCTGTTGGTGTGTACCTCTTTCAAAGTAACAGTCAGTGTAGTAAGTCTAACTTGACCTTCACTGGTTGGGTTTTTATTGGCGGTCAAGCTGTAGATCCTGGCTACACAGGAGTTGCAGCGGTGGGAACGACAGGTGGGAATAGTCCCGTAGTAAGTGATTAAGTGAATAACAATCAGAATATATTGAGCACTTAATTCTTTCATGTAGTTTAATTTTTAAGTTGTGTAAATCTTGAAATTGGGCCCAACGATAACTCATTTATCACAGATTCTAGTTTTTTTCATGTTTTGTGTTGATTGTGCCTCATTTTGAAAATGATAAAACCCTTAAACATTATCCCAATAAAAAAATTGAATTACCCATTTGTGTTTTTGTACTTAAAATAAATGAAAACCCATGTTTTAAAACAATGTAAACCCCCTGTTATACTTGTAGGCAAAGACGGCACAAATTAAAATCCCCAACGAAACAATTTAATTATGTAATTAAGTACTTAAACTTAAAATTATAATAGGTATTTAATTGCTTTATCCCTTACTTAAAAAATTTATAAGGTTGCTGAATTATTCAAAATAGTCTTAAATTTTGGTTTAAAACGGCAATGAAAAATTAAAAAACGACATTAAAAAATATCTTAGATAGATTTTTATGGATAGCATAGTTTTGGATCTTTATTATCATCTTTGATACCAAAAACAAACGCTTAAGTTTTCCAAGGCATTTCTTATTATAAAACGAAACTCAAAATTCGATTCTAACTCAAGTCAATCATCATCATCATTTCAGCCATAGGACGTCCACTGCCGAACATAGGCCTCCCCCAATAATTTCCACAACGGCCGGTTGGTGGCGGCCTGCATCCAGCGCCTTCCCGCTACCTTTATGAGGTCGTCGGTCCTCCTTGTGGGTGGACGTCCTACGTCCTTTCCGGTACGTGTCCGTACTCAAGTATACTTGAATCTTTCCTAAAATTCAACTTTATTACACGTCCTTATAATTCAGCAACCTCATACTCGCCAAACGTTTACGGGAGCGCACACAAGCGAACACAGGTGGTACGTACCAGCCCTTGATCTTCTGGTAGATAAGGATCGCCGTCATTGGAATCGGCGTCATAATGGCCGCTGACACTGGGATCACTGTAATCGAATAAAAGTTAATGTTATGGAGTATTCCACAGATCACAGAAACTAAAGGGAGATGCGACAAGGGGGCGGGGCCGGTGTCGCAGCAATATGCCCAAAAACAGAACACATTGTTTGTGACAACAATGATGATAGCAGCGACGTCATAATGTAAACAGTTTACATTGCTTGCGTAATACTAAAGATTATTCAAACGTTGAGTACTAATACCGCAGTGGATAATGAGCACATATTTTGATTACTTTGTGTGTGTGAATTTCTAATGCGACACTGAGTTTCGAACTCAGCGCATTAGTTGGCATCTCTCTATATCTCTATGGTGTATTTACATTGTGACATGAAAAAATTAAAATTCATAAATTAAATTCATGTTTTAGAAAGAGTTCCCTCTAAGAATCGAACTCAGGATGATTGAACTTTAATTAAAACATATTAATTTTACCGCCATATAGTATTGTAGGGTACAACACGGGCATTTGACATGATTTTTGTCTTGTCCATGTTCATTTTAAGACCCACTTGTTGAGAAGTTCTACTGAGGCTATCGAGCATTGTGCTTAGATCCTCCACGGTCCCAGCCATGACTACGATATCGTTCGCGGTATCAGGTGGGTGATATACTGCGTAATCGAATCAGAAATGACGAGATCCGCAGGAGAACCAAAGTGACCGACATAGCTCGCAGAATTGCTAAAATCAAGTGGCAGTGGGCGGGGCACATAGCTCGAAGAGCTGATAGCCGCTGGGGCAGGAAAGTTCTTGAGTGGCGACCACGGGCTGGAAGACGTAGCGTGGGCAGGCCTCCTACTAGGTGGACCGACGATCTGGTAAAGGTCGCGGGAAGAGCCTGGATGCGGGCAGCGCAGGACCGTGCATTGTGGAAAACCTTGGAGGAGGCCTTTGTCCAGCAGTGGACGTCATTTGGCTAAAACGAACTAATGTAATGTGATTACACAGTCGTGCTCCAAATTATCTACTAAAATCTCTAGTTGTCTACCTGAAGTGATGTCCACCTCGGGCTGACTCAGCGCATAGCGCAGCAGGAATGGCGATGCCTGTGTTCTGGATGCCGGTCTCGATGGAGATAGCGAGTGCATCCTTATGTTGTACTGATGATGGTCTCTAACACGGGACTATTCCTACCTCTCGTTCTCACCGCTGCAACTCCTGTGTAGCCAGGATCTACAGCTTGACCGCCAATAAAAAGCCCAACCAATGAAGGTCAAGTTTGTCCCGGGAGAAAGTTAAACTGTCATTGGTCCCGCAACGAAATTAATGAGGGCTATCGTATTTATACTTAACAGTTGGCACCCCTGGCGATTGACAGGACCTTACTCTACAGTGGCGCCATCTTGATGAGTGCAAATGCGATAGTCCTCCTACCACTTTCGCGCTCACCAGTTGGCGCCACTGTCTTCGCTACTAGCAAGTGACAGGACCTTACTCTACAGTGGCGCCATCTTGATGAGTGCAAATACGATAGTATTCCTACCACTTTAGCGCTCACAAGTTGGCGCCACTGTCTTCGCTACTAGCAAGTGACAGGACCTTACTCTACAGTGGCGCCAACTGGTGAGCGCTAAAACGATAGCCCTCATTAGAAGAACATATAGGAGGAGTTCGAAGTTAAGGTTCGTCTTCCCTCCATTGTAAAGCGGATGACTGGTGATAAGTTAGATGTCCATCCTAGACTGCATCCCACTTAACATCAGGTGCGATTGTGGTCAAATACCTGCCTTGTTATGCATTAAAAAAAAACAAATGGTTTCTAGTCACCTGTAGTGATGTCTGCCTCGGGCTGACTCAGCGCATAGCGTAGCAGGAAGATGGCGATGCCTGTGTTCTGGATGCCGGTCTCGATGGAGATGGCGAGGGCATCTTTATGCGGCCGCTTGAAGATCCGCGCGAGCGCGTAACCGAACATATAGCCGAGCCAGGGGATTCCCATGCCCGCTACTACTATCTGTTGAAGGAATATGTTACAAATTGATATAAAGGAAGGAAGGAATTATGTTACAAAATATGATTCGCTCGAAGACCAAAATTTCTGTGAATTTATCAAAAAATGTAAAAACATCGCAAATTCGTCTCCTGCTTGCCTTGAATGCGCGCCACAATATAGTCTTATCGAAGCATTTTGTCGTTTTTAAAACTTATCTGTCGTCTACGGCCCAGAACAGACGGTGAAACGCAACTGCAACGAAACTGCAACTTTCTGATGATTCTGATGAATGAAACTGAAACTAAAAGTTTCAAACTGGTCGCGTCATGTGTGGTCTCTCAACGGACGCTATGGCAGAAACTTAGATGAAACTCAAAAGTAATTAGCAGTTGCAGTTTCGTTGCAGTTGCGTTTCACCGTCTGTTCTGGGCCTAAAATCCATGATAAGGTTATGTGTGATTATTATCCTAGACCAAATGGTATTTTTTAAAAGCTTACAAGGCGTTGTAGCAATGACAAAAAGCCATAAAGCATTCTGAGGGTTTAGTGTGAATCAAACGTCGTCACTAGTGAGCGTGTCAAAAAATTCTATGAAGATTTTAGTTCTTGAAAGTATCCGCTAGGGTCGCTGTACAATCTGTCATACATTTATTGTAATTTTTTTACGCAGTCACTAGTGAAGATATTTGATGTAAACTCACACTAAGCTCCCTGAGCACTAATTTTTGTAACGTATCATAACAAACGAACTAACCTGCCAAGTGAACAGCTGGAATATATACAGGTTGGTCACGATAGCGAACACGATGATGAATATCAGCAGCGTGCTCGAGAATCCCTTCAATATCTTGACCATGAATGCTGCTATTTTGGGCGTAAATCGCTGCATGGCCAGACCGATACTCATAGGCACTAGGAGGCCTACCACGAAGGTTATTACGTTGGTGTATGGCACCCCGATGTTGGCATTCGCGAATACCACTTGCCCGAGAGAGAAGATCCATAGTGGCATGAAACCTGGGGAAGAAAATAGGGAATAGAAAATTAGATTGATGACATTTATTGCAAATTCTTGAATTAAGTAATATATTAAATATTCTTGGACATTATACACTCCGCCGCCCAGTGCCAAACATTACAGAGGGCTGAGTGTGAGTTTACATTAGTCATCAAACATCCTCAGTAGTCTAGATCTCACTAGTGAGCGCGTTAAAAAAAATATGAAAATTTTAGTTCTTGAAAGTTTCTTCTAGGGGCGCTGTACAATCCGTCATATATTAAATGTCATTTTTTACGGGCTCGCAAGTGAGGACGTTTGATGTAAACTCACACTAAGCCCTAAGAACCAAATGTGACTTAGTTTGTTGCGATGTTATTCTCAACATTAAAATTTGTCAAATTGTCTCGAAGAACTAGGGACAAACGACTGTCCTGCATACCTGGGCTTCCCCGTGGGAATTTAGAGAAGGTGATAAGAACCGACGTAGCCCGAAGAATTGTCAAACTTAATGGTAGTGAATGGGGCATATGCCACGGACCGAATGACCTAGTTTGGGCACACCTCCTACTGGATGGACCGACGGTCTGGTGAAGGTCACGGGAAGCACCTGGATGCGGGCAGCGCAGGATAGATCGTTACGGAAATCATTTGGGAAGGCCTTTGTCCAGCAGTGGACGTCATTCGGCTGATATTAAGTAAAGAACGAAGACTCACCGAAAGAGAATGATATAGACGTCATAGCTAGCGACAGGTCCAGATGTTAGAACGCTCGTCACGTGCGTATGAACATTCCCAAGTGAAGGTGACGTAGTTTGGGAAGACGTATTGCCTCAAGAACTCACCGAATGATAATATAGTGGATATCGACGTCATAGCGAGCGACAAATTCAAGTTCCCGCCCAAAATAAAAGTCTAGATGTTGGAAGCGCCGCTTCCGTGAGCCACTACCGCCATGAACATTCCTAAGTGAAGCGTGACGTAGTTTGGAAACACAAGTTGCCCTCTAAGTACTCACCGAAGGAGAATATAGTGGATATAGACGTCATAGCGAGCGACAAATTCAGGTTCCCGCCCAGGATGAAGGTCCAGATGTTGGAAGCGCCGCTTCCGGGAGCTACGCCCATCATGAACATTCCTAAGTGAAGCGTGACGTAGTTTGGGAAAACATATTGCCCCAAGTCGCCGCAATGTCTGGGAAGACATGTAACCCTAAGCAGTACTCACCGAAGGAGAATACAGTGGATATCGACGTCATAGCAAGCGACAGGTTCAGGTTTCCGCCCAATATAAAGGTCCAGATGTTGGAAGCACCACCGCCGGGAGCCACTACCGCCATGAACATTTCTAAGTGAAGCGTGACGTAGTTTGGGAACACATGTTGCCCCAAGCACTCACCGAATGAGAATATAGTGGATATAGACGTCATAGCGAGCGACAGATTCAGGTTCCCGCCCAAAATAAAAGTCCAGATGTTGGAGGCACCACCGCCGGGAGCCACTCCCGTCATGAACATTCCCAAGTGAAGCGCCGCATTGTCTGGGAAGATCAGGAAACCGAGACCGAACGTCATCTGGAAAATTTTATTTTTAATTATTTAGGTATTACCAACTTAACAAATAATAAAGTTTGATTTCACTTATTTATGCAAATACTCTCATGTTCAACGTAAATCCTGTCGAATGGAGCTGTTCACATAATTCAATTTTACACAACATTTGGCTTCAAAAACCAAATGGTAGAATTCTACGTTATTTCATGATTTCTGATGAACATAAAGAAATCAATGACATCCCCCTTTTGCTCGACTTTAAGAAAATATGGTGGAACTTTACCTTATCCGGACTTCTTAAGAAAAGTTAAATCTATAGAATCTTTTAACTTAAGTTAACTTCTATAAGTTCGAGTATACTTACCAAAGGCATAAATATGAACTGTCCGACCATCCCAATGACGGGTCCGATGGGTTTCTTCAGCACCTCTTTAACTGTGGGCCAGTGCATCGCGCAGCCGAAGTTGATGAAGATTAGGGACACCTGACAACAAATTATACGTCATTAAAGTACAGTTGCGTGGTTCCAGCAGAGTAGAATAAGAACATCTCCACTCTTTTTGTGGATGTTGTAAGAGGCTACTAAAGGACGAATATGCAAACATCAGACCTCCGAGTCCAGTAAGTAGGCTAAATCTAATCCTCCATTAGCCTCTGGTAAATTAGAGAGGGTTGTCCTTCAGTAGTGTCAGTAGTGACTAAATTAACAGATAATCATGATGAAAGTATAGTTAGTTAATACCACAAATTAATTTACAGTATTGTATATGAGCTGACGAAATGCGATTTTGCAATTTATTTGTGTAATCAATGGTAAAAGGAGGGGGGACTCCTTTTAGGCCTGCCCAAACCGTATTATCCATCGTGTGGAGTGTAGGCCAAATGATCCTTTAGCCTCTGGTAAACAGATTGTCGTTCTCACACAAAGAAACGGTCAGACTTCATTCTTGAGACACTGCTTTACAAATACTGCTGGATAATAAATAGAAACTTACAAAGAGGGCAATGCTGGCAGTAAAGATGGTGTCAATGACGCGTTCTGGGCGCGTCACAATGACGGACACTGTCTCGTTGGCGGCGGAAATTTCGCCGTTGCGTGCCGCACGGATGCCTATGTTTGTCCTCCCTGTAATAGAAATAGAAAATCTTTATTGATACATTAAGTACATAAGGGTCTCGGACTGATCAACTCTGTGTATGTTTTTATATTATTTTTCTTGCATGAGTATGAGAGAGTATGAGTTACTTTGCTATTAGTTTATTTTAGTTAAGTACGCAGTGTTTTGTTTATCTGCTATTTACGACAAAACAAGTTCTGTGCAAGCATGAATCGTTTATCTTGTTTTTTTTTGTCTTGTTATCCTCTTATGTCAAATATACAAAGGTAACTAACTGACTGACTGACATAGTGATCTATCAACGCACAGCCCAAACCACTAGACGGATCGGGCTGAAATTTGGCATGCAGGTAGATGTTATGACGCAGGCATCCGCTAAGAAAGGATTTTACGAAACTCCACCCCTAAGGGGGTAAAACGGGATCCACGCGTACGAAGTCGCGGGCGGCCGCTAGTATAAACTAATATTATAAAGAGATAAAGTTATTTGTATATTTGTTAAATTGTAAGGGGTAATCTCGGGATCTACAGAACCGATTTTAAAAATTCTTTCACCAATAGAAAGCCAGATTATTGCTGAGTGTCATAGGTTATATTATAAAAAACCGAAAAATTCCACGCCGCGGGTGAAAAGCTAGTGTCAAATAAAGTTGTTTTTATTATTAAAACATGTGCTTCACCTAAGAATTCTCCATATATCCGTATCTTCCCGTGCCATTCGCCGTTGTCGGCGTCTTCTTGCGTTAGTTTGCTCGTCGAGTTTATCTCCGCGAACGATATGCCTGCGTTCTCTGTTGTCACGAGTATTTCGTCGTTTTCCAGCAGACCGACACCTGGAAATGAATTGTATTTAAATTAATTATCATAGAAATACAAAATATTGAGCTAGGAACATTGATGAGGTACAGAAAACTAAAATAATGGTAGTTAATACTGTGCCAACAGGCTTTCGGTCAGCATTGAAAGGGCAAAGATTCTAATGCCCGTTTTCACCATCAAACCCTATTTTTAAGTGACCCCTTTGAAAACAAAATTCATGTTATTTGTTACCATAGGGGTAACTTAAAAATTTGGGATTGATGGTGAAAACGGGCATAAGATTATTTATATATTATATTATTTACCGAGACCAGGTAATACAGTAGGGGCAGTGCACCTTATTTCACTATGGCATGTCAAGAAGCTGGTCTTCCACGCCCTAGTTTTTGGCATTGCGCATCCTTGTAAAGGGACACCGACTTAAGTTTAAATGATTTCATCAATCAAATATCATCAAGTCATTTGGTGTCGTCGGCCGTTTGGTGTAGTGGTACAGAACGGACTACTATGCCGAGAGGTCCCGGGTTCGATTCCCGGCCGGGCAGAAATTGAAATGATGAATTTTAATTTCTGTGACGGGTCTGGGTGTGACTATGTATAATATTTATGTATTTAAAAAAAAGTATATAAGTAGTATATCCGTTAAGCTAGCACCCATAACACAAGCATTAAGTTGCTTACTTTGGGGCTAGCAGGCGCTGTGTGAAATTGTCCAAAGATGTATTTATTTATTTATTTATTTTATCTCCTGTAGTGGAGCTCGACACTCTATTTACCAGAGGCAAATGGAGGATTTAACTACGCTCCCTACGCTGGCCAGACAGGTCGGGGAGACCTGATGTTCACATACATATTTGTCCCTTAAGTTTTACATTTACAAAAAAACTTATATTACAGGTACGTAAGGTAACTTGACAACAACTAGCTTTGTATAGAAGAGTGATGTTACAGAAAATGTGCATTTGTTTAGGTGCCAATCATAATGTATGCAGACCAGTTTAGCGATTGGATCCAAAACGAACTTATCATTTTCTTACACGCCCCGCCTGGTAAGTTTTGAATTATATTTACATAACATTATCATATATTTAATAAATATTTACGATATAACGACTAGATTGTAAAGACAGGCGGCTTCTAATCTGTAGATTGGGAAGAGTATGAACATTGAAAGAGGCCTATTTCGCATATTGATTGTGGAGATCTGCTATAGTTGCTGACACAGCACCCACGTTGGGTCAAGCGTCAGCAAATACGAAAAAAAGCAGCACAGTCACACAGACTTAGATCATGATCATGACGTTAATTTCTTCGCATTAAGGTCTACTTCCCTTCAGTGCAAAACGAACTCTGGTTTGAACACTGCTATTGCTGGCAATTGCTGACACAGCAGCCATAGCGGGCACAGCGTCAGCAACTAAAGAAAACTGTTAGAACTTACCTATATCAGTGACGTTGACGTCCTCGTTCATGTGAAACATAGTGGAGTCTGGCTTGAACACAGCAAAGATCGCTAACATTTGCTGACACAGCACCCATAGCGGGCACAGCGTCAGCAACTAAAGAACACTGTTGGAACATACCTTTAACAGTGACGTTGACATCCTCGTACAAGTTCATGTGAATCATGGCGGAGTTTGGATTGAACACCGCTGATATCTGAGGTAGTTGCTGACACAGCACCCACAGCGGACAGATCGCCAACAAGTACAGCAGCACAAGGTGAAGCGGCCATATTGGACACATGATGCCGCTTTTTCAATTACTGGAATAGAAACAAAAGGAATGGTTAGAAAAGGGATGTTTCCCGGGTAAAAAAACAAGTCTGAATTAGTCGGTCAGTTAACCTATCAAAAAATACTCGACACTAGGTTTTCACTATTTCAAAGCAATGAAAATTGCTTTGAAATAGTGCAGAGAGACAAAGCGCGCCAAAGTTCAAATGAAGAGGCTCGTGACGTCGTGGCGTGGTTAAAAGTGTAGCACGGTGTGACGTCACGCGTAACTTCAACATACCATAACTTCGTAACTACTTGTTTGATTGACAAATAAAAATATACATGTCCAATATTTAAAAAAAATTGGACTAAACGTTTTTTTTAGGAAACTAGCCTATTTCGATTTGTAGTCAAAACGTATATCAAGATAAGACTAGCCTTGAGGTTTGGAAAAACTGTATCAATTGGTTCAATAACGTGATTACACTGATAATAAGACTTAATATTAGACATAGACATAAAAGTCTGCGATAAAAATATTTGCAAACTCCCGATTAGAGAGAGATAAGATATAGAATATGTTGAATTAATTACTGATAAGTAGGATTTATTGATTTAAATATTTCATTAAAGTGAAAGAATAATTAAAAATAATTAAAATTATCAGGTGTTCCACACGTGATTGCATTCACAATGTGCAAGTGCAACGAGTTTATAAACAACATGTTTATAAGAAAATTGTTATCTACAACTTATACAGGGTGGTAGGTAAATAGGTATATGAGCCGACATTAGCCCATGTTAACATGGGCATATAAATGGTATGGTGAAGTCAGAAATTTGATATCAAAATTATTATTTTTTTTAATTTTAATACAAAATAAATTTTATAAAATCCGATTTGTATGAAAATTAAAATAATTAAAATGAAGATATCAATTTTCTGACTTCACCATACCATTCATATGACCATGTTAACATGGGCTAGTGTCGGCTCATATACCTACCCATTTACCTAACACCCTGTATTTAACCGATTGAGTCCCAGACGGCATTAATTAATGTCATAACAATTGATATTATCTATTGTGTCTAGATTCGCGGAGCTTGAAGGATTAATCGTTCTCCACAGTCAGTTAGATATATGATGTTAACTTAAGTGAACTTATTTAGTTAGACTGACTGATTGTTCACTTTAAAATACTTATGTGTAATTTCTTATTTCTCAGTCGGTACACTCTTGTCAGAGTGGTCGTGGTCATCATTTTGAATCACGCTTCAGAGTGATGTTCCTCGTAATACGGCGCCATTCCTCGCGGACTTCTTATTTAATGGTTATAATTTTTGCACCTCAAACTAATTTGAAAATTATAAATAACTTGAAAAAATCGAATTGCCTAAGGCGGGAATTGAACCCACGACCTTCCGCTTGCCGGGCGACTGCTCTTTCAACTGAGGCAGTTCGATTTTATCAAGTTATTTATAATTCTTATTTCATGTTTAAAGTAAATAGTTTTATTGTATTGTTATTTCATTAGTATGAGGCATGAGTTACAGTAAATAATACACTTATATTAGTTGAACATGTTAACGAGTGTGTTCAAATAATTAACTATGAATGAATTTGCATGTAAAGTAAGTATTATTTGAAATGAATTGTATAGTAAGTTTAGAGGCAGAAGATAATAATATAATCAATGTATCAAGAACAGTTTATTGCAAAAAAGAATGTTAATTAAAAAAATTAGCTGATACTTCAACTCATAATGTATCACGTAATACAACCTTTTTATCCACTTTTAATCATCATTAATTTTTAATTACACTTCGTAAATCATAAGAAGAACCTTATAAAAGATCCTTAGTAACAGTGAAACTGAGTCGATAATACACAAAAACTAAGGCAGGATACCAATGAACCGAATAATAACCGCACACGTAACTATTATGAAAAGGGAAAACAACACTTGAAGAAACTCACACGATGCGGTTAGAAAACGTATAGCACAATGCGTCCGCGCCGAATGCTGGTTAACAACTACACGTATACTTGTAAACCAACGTATTATAAACGATTGACTACATTATTGTTTATCTTATCACTGAATTCGGAAACTATATCGTACTAAGCTATCGAAAAGTCATAAAACTGCGCACGAATAGGCAGGCAACCCGTGACATTGTAGTCTCGTGGGGCTGGTCACGTAATTGATAAGGATTACTTAATTAATACAGGTAATCAATATCACGGTACATAGGTGCCGTTCGCGGATGTTGGGGGCATAGGTACGTCATGGGCTCTTAGTGCCGTGCCTGGACATGAGCTCCCATGGCTTACGGGGAAGTCTTTAAATAGACTTCGTACTCAGGTTGGCCGTAGTAAGGACAATCTGGTCAGATCAATGGAGTGCAGGTGCGGTTTTGTTCCCCAGTCGATGAAGCACATGATGTCCACGAACCAGCGTACATCCGCATCATAGAAACAAATCACTTATGCCCGTTTTCACCATTATTCCCTAATTTTTAAGTGAACCCTATGTAAACAAAATTCCTTTTAAGTGCTACCACAGAGGTCACTTAGAAATTGGGGATTGATGGTGAAAACGGGCATTGGGCCCTTATTTTATGTGAGTTTTCTGTAAATTATGTAATTAGATAACATGTAACGTGTTTATCGCCTGAGATATTGGTCTGCAGGTGGTTCAGGCAAAAGAAGAGTGCATTTAAAACGTGTGTCTCAAAACTGCTGATGATAAAAAATAAACATTGATAAACTTCATTCATAAGCTCAGTATATTATCGTTTTTTTTTAATATCTTTACAGACAATAACTTGTTTAACAATAGCCCTACTAAACTAGGTAATGTTTGAGGACAATGCTGAGAAGAAGCAGGACAAAAAACCGTGTCACTATTGTCAGCCACGACTTTAATTTTTAGGTAGTATTTGTATTGGCTAGGTTCAAATACATGAACTGAATAGACCATTAATGGTTTTCTTAGTACTATTCATACAATAGGGACTTCAGTAATGACATACTGAGCTACTAGTTGCACCACAAAAAACTTGGAGAAGCTCAGGATATAAGCAACCGTCCAGCCCGGACAGTGAGTTTAGGGGGGCTAATACTACTTAGGGGCCAACATTCTCAGATACTCTTTCGCATTATCGTCTATTTTTGACTTTGACTTCACTTAGCTAAGGAAGGACCCCTTGAATCCACGGGGCCTTGGACTGTAGCCCAAAAAGCCATATGGTAAATCCGGCCCTGATAAGCAAGCGATATGGAGTGATGGAAGTACAGACAAGGATCGAGCTCAGAACTCAACAATGCATAATAATTTCCAAGTCATCATTTCCAATCCGTTTTGACAAATTAATTTATTAGCAAGATATATTTTGACAGACACGTGTATCATGCCTCTTTAGCACTCATATCCTTATCATAATATGTCACGTTCATCTAAAATACGATTATCCAGATAGTCGAAGGCTAACTTTTCGTGCACTTATTTTAGTCAGCATTATTATTTTTGGCACTTGTAATATCGCATCGCAAGCGTCAATATCAGGCCGCCACCAACCGGCCATTGTGGAAATCATTGGGGGAGGCCTATGTTCAGTGGACGTCCTGTGGCTGATATGATGATGATGAAGCGTCAATATCAATACAGCTTTAGTGCAAGTAAGTTCAAATACTTAGATTTATAGCAGTTTTTATTACACTTGCAGGTGTGATCTTACAACTTAGTTATTTTTTTCGTTCACTCAGTGAGTATATTTTATTCCTTATGTCTCAAAATCTTTATCTTTAGGTAATTAACTTCAGTAATTCATTCAAGACATAAACAGCCAATGAAAGATTACATTAACTTTAACTGATTAACTGGGTCAAGCACAGCTCCTCTCTCTTCTGCTCAAAGATAAATGTATTACATAAATGAAATCAATAAAAGCTTGATACAGCCATCAGCACTTCAGATTGTAAATAATTTTTTGTTGCAAAATATGTAGTATCATACAACTCCATCGTAGTACGGACGACGGCACGTCAACGTAACCACTGTGGGTTCTTGTGCAGTTGTAATAGGGGCGAGTTTGTAACAAAAATGGGTAACCTGATGTGCTGTCATGTGTACATATTCACAAACGATGCTATCTTAAGTGAAGCAGCAAATCGAACGCGCAGCGTTGAATAGAGCTCTGTGATTGGTTTGTATGTCCCTGTGCGTCCACGCGCACTATGAGACCTCATAGTAATGTTTGTGGATACGGGCGTAAAATGTTTATTATTTTTAGATGATGTTATAATGTAGATTGACCATTTTTAAAAGCATTACATCTTACACGTTAAAACGTTTTTGCGTCACAAAAAGTGACCCGACTCCGGGATCACAAGGAAATTATTCATTTCGCATAATTTCCTGTTTTGTTCGATAACAGAGGGTGCCGATTTGAAATTTAAATTATTAACACCTAGAAACAGAGTGGTATCGCGGTCATGCGCAACGGATCAAGATATTTTTCCGTTAACCTTGTCTGGACTTTTACTGGAATACGCCATTTTAAAGGTTAAGTTTTTACTCGTAACTAAGTGAGAGGTAGATAAGTTTATTTTTAAAATATGTTATGAATATAGTCCCGTTAAACTTAACCCATAGTGGTTAATCTAAGGCTGGGTTGCACCATCTTACTTTAACTTAGACAACGTCAAAAATCTGTCGGTGATCGGTACGGCTATCACGAAAAACATTCGAGTTCAAATCGTTTGCGTACTCGAAACGCCATCAAAAGATTTAGTAAGAAAACTACAACAGCGCCCTTGTGAACGTGTCGTAAAGTGAACTTAGTATGAGATGTGATTGCACAAAACTTATTTTGAGAATGAAAATTGTCACGTTATCGTTTAATTCGAAGATTGAGTATCGAATTTTATCGAGTACGCAAACGATTCGAAGACGAAAGTTGTTCATGCTAGAGGTACGGGTCAGTTACTGTTAAAGTTAGGTGGTGCAACTCAGCCTAAATGTCTTTGTGTTACTGGGATTAAAAAATAACTATCAGTCCTAATGAGGTCGTGATCAAAATTAAGTCCAATCCGAGAATAGGAGATAGGACCTCCAGATTTTAACACACTNAAACACACTTATTTGACTTCATAGTACAAATGCCCAACAATAGTGATTGGGAGGTGTTTTAAGCCTTAACTCAACTTTTTAAAACTCTTTTTTCAGTTTGGAAAATCCAATTTTGAAATTTCCTATAAATACCTACTTATAATTTTTTATTTTATTTATTTTTATTTGTTGCCAGTTCTTTGAAGCACCTGAAGTGTTTATACATGAATATTGAAACAACACCAGTTATAACCGGAGACGGGTTATTTTCAGCGCATTGAGTGCGTCAAGGTTAGAGGTGCAGTTATTTGTTGGTTTGTACACTGCACAATGGACTTTATTACTAAGTAGTTAGATATCAATTTAATTCATTAGATAAGTAACTGTGAGATAAACTTAATATTTAATTTTGTATTAAATTACCTAGTTAATTTTTAGGTTCCTTTTTCTCCTGGTAACGCTATATCTTGAGAACGGCTAGACCGATTTCTCTAATTCTTTTTTTGTTGTGTTTTTTACTGTCGGAAGAAGGTTCTTATGAAAGAAACATTTAGAAAGATGCGCGGAAAATTAAATTAATTGAGTTAACTTATTAACTTTTTTTAAGACAGGACAATATTGTTTCATAAAACTGACATTTATTTAATGACTAGCGGCCGCCCGCGACTTCGTACGCGTGGATCCCGTTTTACCCCTTTCATCTATCTTNGATGAAAAGAACATTTTTAGATAAATGAAATAACTGAATAATTTACTATACTAATATTTAGGAACCGCTCACTGATAACTGTTATCAACCCAATAAAGCCATTAGATACATAGATTGATACCTACAGCAATCTTTAAAATTCTCACGTACAAGATTATTACATGTAATTAAATTACTGATAACGTACAGTTGATAACATATGAGTCTACACATTTTTGTTGTAAACACGCATTTATTACCACTGCATAGATGCTATTAGTGTTTAGCTTGATAAGCTGACATTTGTACTGTACTTAATAATTAAATAATGCCCGTTTTTACCATCAATCCCTGATTTTAAGTGACCCCTATGAAAACTAAATGCCTGTTATGTATTACCATAGGGGTCACTTAAAACTATTTTAAACCATGGAACCCGGTTTCTGGGTCAGAATCATGTTTACAAGGAAGGTGTGCCATTTTGGAAGTTATCCTACAGCAGTAGATACTTTGCCAACTTTTATGGATGCTGTTAGTACTAGTATTATATTATCTGTGCTGTTAGCAACATTGCTAAATAATCACGATGTACACGTGAGTGTGAACTTTGTAGTTGGATTTAGTGTNTGGATTTAGTGTTAATATTGATTGTAGACAGGATAAGGCGCTTATTAGTTCTTATCAGATAATTTGTGACGTTGATCAGCACTGAATAAGAATTACCGAGTTCCATTTCAGTGCTGTAAGTTACCGCAGTACACGTCTGGTTCCCGCAGAGTAGAGTACGAAGAACCACATGAACCGTGGATGTAGTAAAAGACGATTGAGGGACAAATGAGCGAAAATCTGACTAGGGAGGTCTGGCCAGCAGTGGTGTAGCTTAGAGTGACAATGCCACGGGCTCCCGACCCTAGGGGGCCCCAGTCCAAGACCCTAATCATCAGGCTCCCCTTGAAAAATAACCCCAGATATACCAAGGCCCCATGCACAGCATTTGCCACGAGCCTCGCCTCGCACCAGCATGTACATACGTTTTCCTCTGGTATGTACTATGAGCCTCGGCCACAGTTCCAGCTACCCATTCAGTGCCGACTACAACTTTATCAACAGTTAGCACATACCTACTTAAAATATTTTGTGTATTTACATAAAAAATATCTCGTAAAAGACACAGTCACGCACTTCATTCATTGGATTGGAAGCTAATGAGTAATGATAACAATATG